CAAAAGTGTTCTCTACACGTGAAAACTACAGAAAAATGGCTGACATGCGCAGTGGGAGGGTCTCCTGTGAGGGATTCTGACTCAACTCTGCCCTGAGTGACAGCGACCAGACCAAGCCTCCAGCATGCATAGAACCTTGTAGCACAAACCTCAGCCAGGAAAGCAAGATGGGACAGCCAGGCTTCCCAGGCAGCCACGGCGGAGGATGGGGTCCTGAAAGTGTTGCCTCTGCCACTTGTGCACCCTCTGCACCTGAGTCCTGCTGGGAGGCACTTCTCTAAGCTGTACTCCTGGGATAAGAAGACTTTTTCCCCCTTGGGATTGTTGCGTGTTTGTTATTTTTGTGTCCCTTCGTGATAGCATGTTGAGCATGTCTTTTCCCCAGGGATGCGCTGGGCTTTAGACATGACAGAGTGAGCCCCTGCCTGCCTGGGATTCAAAGGAGATGAGTGAGACACCATGCAGCTGAGCCAACATGACACTGGACTGCCGTGGCCTCCGCCAGAGCCTCGCGCCTGGCAGCCCCAGCACTCGCAAGTGGACTCAAGTAACTGTCGTTGTGCCCAGAAGGCTGGAGTAAAGATGGAGTCCTCCCCGAGGCTGGCAGCCATTTCCTTAGTTGAACTTGGCCATCCCAATACCCCTATAGACCTCCTTAGTCTACCCCAAGGTGGGTGCAGATCTGAAGCTCTGTCACTGCTGTGCTTCCCCCTCCCCCATCTCCCAGCCCACTCTACACACAGGGCACTTCTCACTGTGACAGTGTTTGGCCAGCTCTCGGAGACCCACCGCTCCCGCCACTGACCTGTGTTGGCACTTGCCTGCTGATCACAGCAGCTGGTTACCTGGGGGGCCTTTTCTCCCCTCCGCTCTGCCAGGTCCTAAGGTATGACTCCCCTCCACCCCCACCAGAGCCACACTCCCAGACTTCACAGCTGCATTTGTATCTCTCGGGGAGACTGGCACCCACCCATGCCCAGGCTGCACCCCAGGCCAACCAGACCTATCCCTGGGCTGTGTTCGAGGATTAAGGTTTTGGCTTTGATTTTTAAATTGTTCAGGTGAGTCTGTTGCATGGCCAGAGTGAAAAGGGAGAGTTAATTAGGCCTTGATTGTTCTGGAATCACTGTACCCTGCTCAATTTTTCCTTCTAGAGTTTGTTTCCATTTCCTGGACAGAGCCAGATGGTATATGGGCCAGCTCGGTCCCTAGGAGCTCCCTGCCAAGGCCCTTGGCAATGGCCTGTGGGTTGGAACTCTTAATGGCTTCTCTCCCACCTCCTCCCCAGGCGGCCTGCTCGGCATCCACTCCTCGGTTCCCTGGCCTGGTCCCCAGCCTCTGGCTTCCTCTGCCCTGCATCGTGCCTTTGCCCCTCGCCCTCCAACAGGCCTGCCTGTCCTAGCCCTTGTTCCCTTCTTCTAGGGGAGTCGGGCCTATGTGTGGATGACCTGCCAGACCCGTGATGTACAGAGTGGACAAGGACAGCAAGAAGAAAATAGAAGGGGGAGAACAGTTTGGAAACGAGTAGGGCACTGATCACATAAATCATGGATTGCAGTACAATAGAGGATTGCATAATAACTAAGGTGTTGAAGGATTTTTAGAAGTGAAATTAACAGAATGCAGTTATTGGGTCTATTGATAGAGAAATGCCAGGAGGAGGATAGACTAAACACTGGTGATGGTTGTCCTCATGTGGTAAGATTGCAGTTGACTTTATTGTTACAAGTTCATGGGCTTTGCTTTTTAAAGATTAATTCATTTATTTGCACGAGTTGCAGACACACAGAGTATGATAGATCCGTCTGCTGCTGTATTGCCCCGGATGGCTAGAGCAGCCAGGGCTAGGCCAGCCTGAAGTCAGGACCTTCATCTAGGTCTCCCACTTGGGTGGCAAAGCACGTGAGTCATCCTCTGCTGCTTTCCCAGGTCATTAGCAGGAAGCTGGATTAGAAGTGGAGCAGGCACGACTGGAAGCACTGGCCATCTGGGATGCTGCCATCTCAGGCAGCAGCTTTACTCACTATACCACAAATGCCAGCCCTCATTTCATGGACTTAAAAGAAAAAGCATTGGACATGTAATTAGGGTTAATTTGGTGAGCGGGAAGGAGAGTGAAGTTAATGTCAGATGACAATATTTCATTCAGGCCAAATGTGTCTTAGGGAATTTCTACTTCCTACACCTTGGAGTTGGTAGAACAGAATCCTGGGGTAGAGTTGGCACATGAGAAGGGTGGGAGATGGGGGAACTTTCAGGAATATTCAAGTTTCCAAAAGAAGGCCCCTGCGAAGGGCCAGCACATTGAGCTGGCTCTGGAGAAGGACCTGCCAGCACAGAGTGTCTTCTTGGCTCTCGCTCGGTGCCCTGCCGAGCTGCCTGGAGGCACTGGATGCTGTCTTCCCATTGGCTCGCAGCACCACGGAGATATTTCTCTGTGCTGTCTCTGCAGTTGGTTAGCCTTTGATTACACTCACTTTGCCCTGATATGAGGAGCTAATTGAGTAATTATTCACTCACCAAGTGCTAGAATGTCACACAGTACCATTCCAGGTGTTAATTTAATGGCTTCTCCTGACCAGTGATTTGTGCTTAGTTTTGCATTTTCTGCTAAAAGAAATAGTTTGCCCCTAATGCCTGTCTGTTCAGAGGAGAGAGCTTTCACATAGCCAGCCCACTCAGCCATCAGCGAAGGAGTTCTCCCCCAAATAGAGGGAGGAAACCACACATCATTTCAGTATTAACCTCTCTGTCTGGAGCCAGCATGTCTGCAATTACGGCAGTTAAGATGTTTTCATCGGCAAATAATGGGTATCTGATTAAAACTGGCTGAAATAGGAAAGGTTTGTTCATTTCATGTGGCACACTGCCTAAACGGTGTGATGGCTTCGGGTTTGGGTAAGTGCCTCATCACAGTTGCCAGGTACCCATGTTCTTTCAAGTCTTTCTGCCCTGCTGTTCTCAAGGTCTCCAGAACATCGGCCAAGCCGCCCCGTCGTGATCACAAGGTGGCTGCCACAGCCCCTAGCACCCTATCCTTGCACAGTGACACCCCAAGCAGGAAGCAAGTGAGAATGACATGAGGCACCTTCCCCTCTCCCTAGCCAGAGATCTCTAGCCAGAGATGAAATCTTTCCCAGAGGCTCTTGGTAGACTCCCTTGGATTTTCAGTGACTTCAATTGGGTTCCACAGCTACCTGTAGACTAGTCATGGGCAAATGTAGCTCAGGCCAGGGACTGGCACTTTCTCCTGAAACAAGCGGGGGGCTTTGTTAGAAGGAAGAACAGGGAATGGCTGGGGAAAGCAGTGCCTGCCATGGTGCTCAAGTCACCTCTACTTGTGAGGAGTAAATGTCTTTGACCAAGTCATGATGAGGGTCAGCTGCTTTGGCTAGCCATTCCCTTCAGCATCTCTCTCTCTCACACAAATACACACACTTGGTTTGTACATCCTCAGAACTCCGTAGAACCAGAGATCCCCTTATCCTGATCATTCATTGAAGAAGGTGGCAAAGCCAGTGCAAAGGCCTGCCTCTGGACATGTGGCATATGCTGTGACAAAGTGCCCGGATGCATCCATATTGTTCGTTTTTGGCTGTGCTTACTGGTGTCACTGAGTATCCAGTAACCGTGGAGGAAATGACTGAGTGGACTGGTAACTGAATAAGGTCTCCACAGAGTGGTGCCTCTGAAGGCAGCGGGTCAGCCCTGTGAGTCACCAGCAGAAGTGCAGGCTTTGGCTCCTCCTTGGGAGAGTTGGCCAGAGTTTTGGCACAGCCAGAGGAGGAGCCTGCCCTCCCTCCCGCCTTGTGTCTGGGAATCCACGAGCAGCGCTCGCTTGCCCCAGGCCCTTGTACCTTGTGATTGCTTCCTTCTGTGTGGGGACTGCAAGAACATTTATCTCCTGACATGCACTTGGATTTGTGGAAGAAAGAAGCTTCTGCCTTTAATCCCCTTTGTTGCTTTTTTTTCCATTTTTAAATTTTATTTTTTACAATCTTTACATGGTTAATTAGGGCAAAAAGATTCAAGGGCTACAGGAAAGTGGGTAAGACTATCATTTCCACATATTTTCCCTATGTTTGGGGTAAAGGGGGGGTAAAGGGAGAAGCCCCACCCAGACTCCCACCCACCCCAGGTCCCTGATGTGGGCATGCTCCGAGGGTCTTGCTCAAGTGGTTTTGATAATTCAACAGTTCTGAATTGCTGCCAATCTTGCCATTCCAAGCACTAAGAAGTTGCTGCAGAATCCACTGATTGACATAGTCCATCTTAGAGTCTCAGTTTTCCCAGTTTTCCACTGCCAATATATGGCTGGGGTAGTTGTTGATTTGTTCTCTCCTCTTTCTTTTCATGGTTAGGGATCTGAGTTTGTCAGTTCGATTGGGGGGGATCCCCAAAGAAACTTTGTCTAGACCAGGTTCTTGTGTGTACTTGCAAGTACAGGGCCCGGCACAGTCCATTGCCCCAATCAGCTGGTGGTTGCGATTGCTGGGGTGGTTCTGTTTCCAGCCCTGCCTTCCACTTAAACCAATGGGTATTTAGTCCAGCTTGATCCTACCCACTTCATACTCAGTCCTCACGCAAGCCAGTGGGAGCTGCAGCCTAGTCAGAGTGACCCACAATAACCCCCACAAGGCCTGCCCCCTATCCTGGTTCTTTTGCTTGCCATTATGTGCAGCAGACTAGTCCAGTCTGTCCCACATCCCATTGAGCTCTCATACATGTCAGTGGGTATTGAGGCCTAGTTCACCCTTTGTTGCTTTTTAAAGATTGATGGATATAGCTTGAGAAGGGCAAAAGGAAAGACATGTTTCCCTTCCATGCCAACTCCTTAAACAGAGCAGGAAACGATCATTTCATTCTGTTCAAATACATGTATCGACTGACCTCAGAATGTCGACAGCCTTTGCGCACAATCGGACATAAGCCACGTGCAAAGAACTTTTTCTTGCTGTGCTGTTTTTCACCCTTTAAAGTCTGTTTTGCTTTTGTTTTAGACCTAGAAGGTTTTGACTCCGTGGTGTCATCTACTGAGAAACTCAGCCACCCAACCACGAGCAGACCAAAAGCTACAGGGAGGCGGCCTCCATCCCAGTCGCTCACATCTGTAAGTGTCTCTGCATAGCATCTCCCCTCTTCTCTGCAGGTGACAGCAGAAAAGAAGAGTAAGGACTTTAGCTACGGATGCTTCTTCAAGTAGGTGGCCTGGAGAACACCCAGCAGAGAGGGAGACCACGCAGCACATGGTCAACTGCTAGTGATTTGAGAACCTTCTTGAATCCAGCAGGATTTATTTCTGTTTGTTCTGTGTGTTTCTGCCACCCAGGTAGCAACCGCTGCCCAGTCCCACCTTCTTCTACTCCCCATCCAGAATGATTCTTGCTTGAACCTGAAATGAAACCGGTGAGGGGGAAAAAAAGCAAGTTTCATGATGGGCACGGGAAAGCTAGGCTGATGGGTCTCTAAGCAAAACAACCTCGGCTGAACAAAAACAAAGACCTACCTCTGTACACCTAAGCACTGGCTGAATCTTCATCCCCTACTGCTCTGTTGTGATACCCCACCCTGCAGAACCCCACATGTAGGAGAGCCCATTCAGAGCTCTTGGCATTGGCCATGGTTTCGGGGTTGGATCTTTTTGGATTCCTTCTGTTGCAAAGCCATTTCCAATTGACGGTCCCAGATTTGCAGAACAAAACATGTTGACCTGCATTGCTGCTGCCAAGGCGAAGAACTGTTGACCTGTTGCTCTGCATCAATTACTATAAAAACACTTTTAGATACAGAAAATGAGTTCTTCAACAAATGAGCCCATACATAGTATGCATTATTTTTCAAATTGCTTCCAGTCATTGCCAGTTCTACAACATGGCCTACTAGTCTGACCCTGGACTCTGGGAGCTTATTTAGCCAGCATACCATTTTGAAGCATTTATGTTCCCAGTTCTTCATTATGATCAACACTCAAGTAAACACCACTGTAGAAAAATCTCAGTACTTCTCCAACATGATTCACTTAGGTAAAAAGTTTCTGAAAGTAGATCTAACAGCAATTGATGGCTTTGCTTTGGCCACATGTTGTAAACTACTTCTGCCTCTGCAAAAGTTAAGTGTGCTTTCATGAGTATGTGTGTGTGTGTGTGTGTGCGCGTGTGTGCACACACACACATATCATGCATGAGAAAGAATCCGTTTGTCTATGAGGGTACTTCACAAAGTTCATGGACAAATGCAATTACAAGATAAGTTTGTTTTGGTGCAAAAAGATTTGAAATCCATATATACACAGGGTCTCCAAAAGATGGTAGAAAGTGTGCATTATGAAAAACTGGGCATAGATGTCCAAATATTTTTGCACTAAAATCAGTCTTACTTCATTTTCCATGACCTTTTTGAGGTATCTGTCTTTGTCTCTGCGTATCACAGTGCCTTGTCTTTCCCCTGGGGCTTTATAACTCCCACCCAGACTCACCAAGGAGTTCATCTTCCTAGGTTTCCCAGGACGCTCTCTGTTTTCCTCACTGATTCCACCTAGGTTGTCATCATGTGCAAGGAAGAGATTAGAATTCCTCTGGAATCTCCTTTTTTATAGCGACTGGATCTGGACATCTGGTTAGCATTCCACTGTGTGTCCCATTTGTGTGAAATAAAGCCAGGTTGTGTGAAATCAGCACCACTTTGAGAGAAAGACCTTAAAAATTGACTTAATTTACTCTTACATGGAGTTCTGTGCCAATGCCATCTTCTTTCCTTCCCTCATACCTGTCCATATCCCACCCCAACATGTCTCACATACATGCAACCTATTGAATCGCTTCTTATCTCTCTGTTTCAGTTTTCAGTCTGACTTTCCATGTTATCTCTATAAATCCTTCATTTGTCTTCCTTGCAAGTTCTTCCTTTGTAGGTCCAGAATTAAATACAAAGAGATGCAAATTACACCCTCCACTCCATCTTTGATTCATTCATCCCCTGTCTGGGAGTTTTTCTGTATTTTGGGGCCCTGATAAGGACATCCCATCCTCACCCTGCTTGTAGACTACATTCATCCAGCCAATACATGAGGTCTTCAAAGTGTTCATGGGAAATGCATACCATGAAAAAACTGTAAGCTTCACAGAAAAGTTTTTTGCATCAACATGAATTTCTTTCCATTTTGTTTTCCATGAACTTTCCGAAGTCCCCTCATGTTCCTAAGTATCTGTCTACCCTGGGCTCAGACAGGGCCAGATCTCAAGGACACAGCTGGCAAAAATAAGCTCACTCTTCTTATCGATCACTGCCCACAGGAAGCTTACGGTGCAGTGACTAGAAGCTTGGCATTTGGGAAACTGGTTGTATTGTAGATATCAGACAACAGGATCCATTGGTACTCAGAAGAAGTGTGTGATTCCTATACTCTTTCCCCCCTCATTCCTGTCCTTCCCCATTTGGATGTGAACAGTGAATTCCTACTTACTCTGTTTCCAGTTAGCATCTTGGGTTTTTCATAACGAGCTTGGATTAGTGGATGTGGACATACTCCTGAAAGGGCACCGTGGGAGAGATGATGGAGGAACTGTATTAGCCACGATCCCGCAACTGGTGACCTCTCACCCGCGTTGAGGCTCTTTGTGTCTGTAATAGAACTGGAAGAGCAAGTTTTGATTGGCAGTTGTTGAGGGAGAAACTGACTTTGAATACAATCTCAAAGTGATGAAAGGATCCAGGCATACGTGTTAGTTAGGCAGTTAAGCCCAGATTAATGAGAAAGCTTGGGAGGGTGTTGGAGGACTGTTATTCTAGGTAATTGGATTTTCAGATGAAAGGAAAATTAACAAATAACACCTCTTAAGTTGGAAAATTTGCTTTAAAATTCTCTGCTATGTAATAGGCTTCTGTCTTAGTAGGTAAATAGAAATAAATAATACTGTGGCCCTAATTTTTCTATAATGATACCACTTTGTGATTATAAATAGACCTCTTTTTCTACCACAGGGATAGAAGGCATAGAGATGAGGATCAATGGGAACTCACCCCAAGATATCTCTGGCACATTCTTCATTTTGAAAGATCGCCTGCTATAGGAAGTCTTTGTTTCATTGGCATTGTCTAAACCAGGGAGCTTCTATCTAACCCAATGATCATTTATGTCCAAATGAATTCTAGCACGTTAGTCCCCAGCCAGCCAGCTTGGTGACCATCACCATAATCTGTTTCATGAAGAAGGGGTAGTCATCTTGTCTCTCCGTGTTTCCCCCAAAGATGCCCCATGCTATAAGCATACATCAGCATCTACAGAGCCAAAATGAGCATTGCCTGTCAACAGTCATGAGGGCAGAGACTGAGCAGCAGATACCAAAGTAGATGAGAGGCTGTTGTGGCAGCAGACTGCAGATACACTGGTCACTGGGGCACAGGTCTGAGCGCCTCTAGTCCTGATAACGCTTGCAACAGATACAGTGATTTCCCGGAACGACCAAGGAAAAGAATGAGGAGGGGGAAGAAGAGAGGCAGCTCCCATGGAGCTGTGTGTTTTTCCCCATGCACTGTCATTAGCCCCATGACAACAGGGAACATGTGTGGCCCATCACCCCACAGCCTGCAGCAGTAAGCCAGTGCTGGCCATGTGGTAGAGGGAGCAGGCAGCAAAGGGTGGCTGCGTGCAGGGTGGAGCAGGAGGCTTGGCATCAGTAGGCAGAAGCCTGGTGCAGGGAGCCTTGCCTCTCACCCTGGGCCTGCTGCTGAGCAGCTGCATGACGTGGGTGAACAGCCACTCGTGCTCCTGTTGCCTCGCCTCACGGGGTGGCGAGAAGACCACAGAAGAAGCACTCAGTGCTCTTAAAGGCGTACAGCACCATCAACCATCCACTGAGGTGTAATTCTGACAAAGCATCATTTTCTTTTGGCTTTATCCAGTCTTCCCTTTCAAGCCCTGATATCTTCGACTCCCCAAGTCCCGAAGAAGAGAAAGAGGAACACATTTCCCTTGCACACAGAGGAGTGGACGCGTCAAAGAAAACTGCAAAGACTGTTACCATATCCCAAGTGAGTGACCGGCCAGGGCAAGGGGGTCCCTGCCCTTGCCTGCATGCTCTGACCGTGGGGAGACAACACACGAGGAGGTGTAGGCAGCACGTTTCTGTCATGCTTTAGTGCCAGTGGTGGCCGTAGACATCCCGATCCCCGAGGCCGCTCGGAGTCCCTGGCTGTTCCCTTATCAAGTTTTTCTCTTGCTGATTGCATGTGTGTGGGAGTCCCCACACACATGCACAGGTGCTCCCCCTGGGCAACAACCAGCCTCCAAGTGGCTGAGGGAGAAGGCATTAAATGCTGTGCCCTCTGTCCCTTGGACAAAAACTGGTGTGGATTCCTCTTCTAGGATTAATTTGTAATTTAAAAATACTTTACTTTCCCCACATGCCAGGGGATGCTATAGATATTTTAAGGTACTGATTTCTGAAAAACAAGACATTATTAAACCATCATCATGTATCTTTCAACAACTACCCTGGACACATTCTATTCTTTCTATGCTTGTGAACCAAGGGTGTTTTTTTTGTTTGTTTGTTTTTAAGTTTATTTACTTGGAAAGCAGAGCTAAGGAGAGTGAGAGAGGAATAGACAGAGAAAGAAAGAGATCTTTCTTCGGCTGAAGCTGGGCCCATCTGAACCAAGAGCTTCTTCTGAGTCTCCCGTGTGGAATGGAACTGAAGCAGCCAGGACTCGAACCAGTGCCCACATGGGATGCCGGTGCTGCAGGCAGAGGCTCTGCCTGATATACTACAGCACCAGGCCCGAAACCAAGATTTTTAAATCCTATTTTCTCATCTTGAGAAAACTCATTCAGGTGCAGTTTTTGCTCATAACGTTGGCAGCTTGCTTCCTTCGACATACACAGAAACCTGTAGTTACTTGAGGCAGGAATTAGCCCAAAGAAATCAAGGGTTGCTTCCCATAGACTTACAAATCTACATGTATAGATTTTCTTTAAAGCCTGACAAAATAAGCAAAACATTGTGCTATAAAACAGATGCATTGTAGTTATCCACAAAACATAAGCATTCTTCACTTATTAAAAAAAAAAAAAGAATTTCATTTGCACAGCAGCCTGTGACCAAGGTACACTGCAGGTTCCTTCTGGGTGACTCCACAGTGACATCTACTGGTAGACAGTGGCTTTTTTTCATGTTTCTGGTTTGCACAGTTCCGTCCCATTAGCCTACCACAGTCCTCCCGAGTTGTCGTGTTGTGTTCCTCACTGCTTTTAGGAATTACACTTGAACTAATTTGGTCAGGGACTGTGGTCTCTCTGCAAGGGCTCAGAAAGTACTTGTTGGCGGAAGTGGGCTGGGAGATTGAGTCGCACAGGAAATGCCAAGAGAAGCATTGATTCCAGAAATGTCTGGAAGCCAGTCAGTGTAAGGGCATTGGTGGGTTGCAGGAGGTCCAAAAGGATGCAGGCTGGAAAGCGGGAGGATGCGTGAGCCCAGTAGTAGTTCATATGCCAAGGAAAGCAACGGGGAGTGGGGAGCGTGGATCCGCATCTCTGGCAGCTGGGCACGAGGGGCCCTGCTGGTAGTGGTAAGAGGACAGGCTCCGAACTCAGTGGCTGCTCAGCTCAGACTCGGGGAGTGATGGCCACCTCTGGAAGCCCCACTCTCCTGTTCCACAAAATGCTCAAGCCAGCCAGTCCCTACTGAACTGGTCTCGCCAACATCCGGCTTGCAATCCAAGCTCCCTGAACGTCAGTCCCTCTTGCCGCTGACTGGAGTTCCTGCTGACAAGAGCACACATGCTGGCAGGTGGCTCTGCCTGGCAGGAGAAAGCATTTTTCCTCAATGGCAACTTGGCAGAGAAGAGGCGAGCAGAGAACCTGGGAGGGATGGCCCATCTGCTCCTGCCTTGTGCTGCCCGCTCTCCAGCACAGCCTGGATCCAGACTCTACCTCCCCATGGTGCCAGCCAAGCCCTTCATTGGCTTCTGCCCTTGGGTGGCCAGCTGGGCACCTGCTGCTGGAGGGAGTCCATGGCTGCATTGCCACACTTGCTCAGCAGCCTCAGCTTCAGCCTTGTCCCTCACCCCCTCGCCTCCTGACATCCTATTCTGCCTACATTGCCTCCCTCCTTACCTGCCTACCAACTTGCCTCCCCCTGCTGGTGTGTCCTTCCCAAGCCTGGCAGGTACCCCCGTTTTCCCCCCAGCCCAGCCTCACCCCATCAGGCCTCCTCTACCTGCCTCCTCCAGATGGCAGCCATCACTGAAAGCAAGCACTATCCTTCTTTGATCCTCTCTGCCCTTGGGACTTCCGCAAGAACTCTTTCCACTGGTTCCCTTCCATCGTCTATGACAAATGCATCCTCAACTTACAGGCTGTGCCATGCCGCTCTGGTTTGGAAAACTGATCTGCCACAGTCAGGGTTCCATCTTCCATGTGCCAACAAATTCCCATCCCACCCCCAGTTTTCTTCTCAGTACTATTAGCTCTCTTATCCAACCGTATTTGTCTTTCTGGAACCTTCTGCAGGGGACTTGGATAATTCATGCCTCTCTGCTGGTCTTACCTCAGTCTTTTCTGTCACTCTTTTCCTGTCACCAAATGCTCCTGCTCTCTGCTCTCCTCCCTCCAACTTTGGACTTGCCCAGGCTCCACCCTTGGGACCTCTTTTCCTTCCATCTTATCCACCCTGTGGCTGCTACTTCCTCTGACCCAACTCAGTCTTTGCAATGCTGGTCCTGCCCATGAAGCACATCCCCTCTGCCACTCTTTGGGCTCTAAAATTCAAGGTATCTAGAACTGACATCATGATGCTCCTGCACATGCTCACTCTGGCCACATGGACCACCAGTTCATCTGCTTCCACACTGGCCCTGCAACTGGACTGCTTCCTCCACCCCACATAGCCTGTCTGGAACCATACACATCCCTCTGGTCCTGAGGTATCTGCTCCACCAGGACAGGGACCCTCCTCTGCTGTGCCCACTTCCCACCCCAGCACCAAAAGCAAGCCACACACACCCTTTGTTGGATGTGCCTGCCTCTGCCGCTTCTCTGAGAGCTGTGTTCCGTTAACCATCTTGGCCACTGTCTGGGTCCAACCCTCCCCATTTCAACCTTCTGTTGTTTGAGACTCTCCAGGGAGCTTTCTGTCAAGCCAGACCTGCCAACCCTCAGGTCCTTCTGTGGCCAGAGTGACTGTGTACGTGGCGTGTAGTCTGTCTCAGCCTTCCACCTCCCCAGCTGGCCTCTCCTTCCCTACCCCACTGCTGTCACCTCTGACCCTGCAGGCCTACTGAATGCTGGCTGTGGGGCTCCAGGCACTTGCTGAGGCTAGCGCCTCCTGCAGCCCTTTTTCCCAGCCTCCAGTGTGGGACTGTCAACTCCTGCTTTCCACGGCCTGCCCTACTGCACAGTGGGCCCTTCCAATGTACTTCCGGGGCTCTCCCTGCATCCCTCTGCCTTGGCCAGTCTTCCTGTCCTCTGCGGTGTGCTGGCTTGTCTGTCTGTCTGTAGCCTCACTGGGCTCCAAGCTCCCTGAGGGCCAGGACAGTGTCTTGCTCACTTCAAGCAGGTGGCCATCTCTAGGTGCTTCTGCAGCCAGTTAGAAACTGTCCCAAAGGAAGGTCACATTTAAAACTTGAAGAAGGAGGCACCAAGTGGGTCCCTGATGAGCTATGGATGAAGGAGTGAGCAAGTGGAGTGTGTACGGTGAGGGGGAACAGGGCTGCTAGGGCAGGGTGTGGCTAACTAGGACAGGGAGGCCCAGCTCAGCCCCTGGCCCTGAGTCCTCCCTGCCTTCCATCATCACAGGTGTCTGACAACAAAGCATCCCTGCCACCCAAGCCAGGGACCATGGCAGCAGGTGGTGGAGGGCCAGTCCCTCTGTCCTCAGCGGCAGCACCCTCTGCTCTGTCGTCCTCTTTGGGTACGGCTGGACACAGAGCCAACTCCCCATCGCTGTTTGGCATGGAAGGAAAACCAAAGATGGAGCCTGCGGCCAGCAGCCAGGCGGCCGTGGAGGAGCTGAGGACCCAGGTCCGCGAGTTGAGGAGCATCATCGAAACCATGAAGGACCAGCAGAAGTGAGTGAGCTGCCCTCTCCCCTGCTGGCCTCCCGACTCCAGCTGCTGGAGACAGCAGTGGTGGTGGTGTGTGAAGGCCAGGGGTGGGGTTGGGGGGAGCGTGGCAGGGCATGGGTGCTTCATCTACACATGAATTTTGCTTTGTTACCATGGGCCACAGGACATGCATCAGTGAGTCAGTTGCGAGGACTGACCCTCTCGGTGGGCTGCCGGGATGGTACTTGAGGTCTCCTGCCCCCAACTCCTTCAGCTGTCCCTTGCCATCGGATTCTGCAACACACATGCTTACGTACCCAAAGGTGCTGCCCCTGGCCACATGGGACCTGACTGGACAGTGGCCCCACAGCCCCAGGAGATCTCAGATCACTGGTGCTCAGCCAGCTCAATGGAGCCATTGTTGAATGTGACAGGCCCATGTCCAGGGCTTTGGCAAATCCTCTTGGAGATATCTGGACCCTGGCCACACGTGCAGGCTGGCCTGAGTACAGAGGCAGCTGGGCTTGGGGCTTGCTTTACACTGTGCTTCTCCCCACACCCCCATCAGTAGTTGGTTGGGGTTGTCCTGCCCCAGCTGACACCTGCTTGAATCAACACCTTATGATCAACCCTCATCTGAGATCTGCCTTCCCTTCCTCCACCTGGTCTCTGTGCCTAGAGTCAGCGCCCACCCTACCAGTGTCCTCCCATCACTATGTCACTTTCCTCTCAGGCTTCAAGTCCATAACAACTCTACTTCCTCCCCTCCCCCCCCCAAATGTGCTGATTCTCACTTCCCTGGGTGTGTCCCGGGGTTTTCCCATCATGCTTCCTTCTCGTACATCACACCCATTCTTACTGGCTATTTGGACAGCCTTCTGCTGTGGCCTCTCCCTACCTGGACCACTCGAGGCTTCATCTGCTATAGTCGTACCATTGGCTTGAGATCTCACCTCCCGCTTCTTTATTAAGCCTTAAGTAATCCCACTGAGATGTAGCTGTATAGTGTGTGCTAGAATAAACAAAACCATGAACTACACTGGCTAATGGCAGTGGTTGGCAGCAGTGCTGGGACAGTGTCCCAAGTGTAGGCAGAATCCTGCTACTCATCTAAAGGGAGCAAGTGCAGTATTGCTTCAATCTCATTTAGTATGCAGCTTCCACCATTTTGGGTTTTTTTTTTTAGTGTTTTTAAAATTTGTTTTATTTTGATGATATTTGCATAGTTAAGAAGGATGCATGCCCATGTGGACCACGGATTAGGGTGGGGAGGAATGAGGAATGGGAAAAGTGGATGAGACAACTGTTTCCTATCTCTTTTTTGCTTCCTGTCCCTGGGGGAATTTGCGAAGAGAAGGGGAAAGGGCCACTCCCAGCAGCCCAGCTGCATCAGTACCCGTGGATGGGGGATGGCCATTCGGTGTCTTCCCTGGGTCCCTAATGTGCAGCATTTTCCAAGGGTACTGCTTAAATGGTTTTGATAGTTCTGAGATGTTGTTGATTTCATAGTTCAAGGTTGAGGGAACCCTTCCAAGGTCCATTGGCTAATATGTTCCAACTTAGAGTATCCACTTGCTCAGACACTTGCTGACAAAGCTTGCCTGGGAGAGCTGTCCAATTTGTTTGGCCCTCCATGGTACTAGCCATCCTCTGCAGGCCTCAGTGAACTGGTCGTCCTGTCCCCCATGTGCATCTAGGCATGCTGTCCACTGCACAGGCTTCAACAACTGAGGCGACCAAGTCCTGCCATGTGCACTCCACAGTCAGACCACAGATCCTGTGATTTTCCCTGTGGTTGGAGTTCTGAGTCCAGTGGTCCGTTTGGGTCCCCAAAGAAACTTCTTCTGAGGCAACCCCAGACCTGATTCTTATATGTGCCAGCCAGTGTGGGGTCCGATTCAGTCTGTCATGCACATCAACCTACACGTACACTGGTAGTTATAGTCGCCTAGACAGTTCTATCTCCAATTCCATCTCATATGCAAAACAATGTATGATGCAGCCCAGCCCAACCCTGTCCACCACACACTTGGCCCTCACCCACACCAGCAGGAGCTGCATCCCAGTCAGAGCAACCCCCAGAAACCCCTACCAGATACACCTCCAGTCCTGGTTGCTGTGCATGCCAGTGTGTACATCAAACGTCCCGCATCCCATTCGTCTCTTGTACAGATAGTGGGTGTTGGAGCCTAGCTCAGCCTCACCAACGTCATTATCCAACCCACACTCATGTTCGTGGGTACCACTGCCTGTCTAACCAAGCCCACCCCAGCCATAGTTCTCATGCTCACCAGTGGGAGCTGCGACATCAGAAGCGTGCCTACAGTTTCCCTACTAGGCCCACTCCTAGCCCCACGTGTTGTACTTTCCAGATGGTTCTGTGGTCCAGCCTGATAGGAATTGCCTCCAATCAACAATGCAGCAAAACCTTACCAGCCTGTACTTACTGTGGCTCAGGCATGCACCAGTGGATATGGCCACTTAGCCCAGCCTGGCTCTCTCCTCAAATCAGCTCACATGCAGGCCAGTGGGTTTTATTTATAGCTCTGGCCAGCCTGGTCTTCCCCCAGTCCCAGCCCTCATACTCACCAGCAGGATCAGTAGCTCAGCAGAAGAGTCCTTGCAGCCTCCCTCCAAGGCTTGCCCCCTTCCCCAGTCTTTTATATGCTGGTGAGTGCTACAGCTTAGCCCAGACTGGACTGTCCCCAGTTCTGGCCTTAATGTTAACTGGCTGGTGTTGCAGCCCAACCCAGCCTGTCCTGCACCCCATCCTGGCTCTCACATCTCCCAGTGGGTGTTATGAACTGGCCTAGTCTGTTTCACCCCCAGACTTGATCCACAGGTATGCTAGCAGGTACTGTAATCTGGCCTCATCTGGACTGCTTCCAGTCTTTTTTTTTTTTTTTAAGATTTATTTTATTTTTATTGGAAAGGTGGATATACAGAGAGGAGGAGAGACAGAGAGGAAGATCTTCCGTCTGATGATTCACTCCCCAGGCGGCCGCAACGGCTGGAGCTGAGCCAATCCGAAGCCAGGAGCCTCTTCCAGGTCTCCCACACAGATGCAGGGTCCCAGAGCTTTGGGCCGTCCTCGACTGCCTTCCCGGGCCATAGGCAGGGAGGTGGAAGGGAAGTGGGGCTGCCGGGATTAGAACCGGTGCCATATGGGATCCCGGGCGTGCAAGGCGAGGACCTTAACCACTGCGCCATTGCGCTGGGCCTTGCTTCCAGTCTTGATTCTTGCACTCACCTGCAGGGACTGTGTCCTGAAAGAGGAGTTCTCAGGTCACCTCCCACTGGCAGATCTCTTGCACACCAGTGGGTTCTTGGCCTAACCTTACTTGGCCCACCTCCTGTCCTGGCAGGTACACTGGCTTTGCCTGACCTGTCCATACCTATTCCAGCTCTTACCTTTGGGTGCTTTAGGCCAGCTGCCTGGCCCACTCCTAGACCCAACTCTCATGTGATTTAGTGGGTACAGATACATAGCCCAACCCTTTCCACACCCACCCTGACTCCTGCGAGCAGTAGCAGGAGTCTTGGAGTCTTGCCTAGTCTGGTATACACCAGACCTAGTCCACTCCCATGCCAAGGGATGCTGCAGCCATGTCCAGTCCTGTTCACCATCCCCATTCCAGCTCTCGCACACACTAGTGGGAACTGCAGCCCAGCTGAGGCATCCCCTTAGCTCCCTGACCAAACCCACTCCTAGCCACAGATCTTGCACATACTGGTATTTGCTCTACCCAACCTGGCATAACCTATCACCCAGCTTGGCCTTTGCATTGGATATTACAGCCTGGCTTAACCTGGCCTGTCCCTAGTCCCAACTCTTACTGATGGGTGCTGCAGCCTAACCCTGCCCAGCCTGCCCCCAACTCTAGTTTTCATGCAAACCAGTAGGTGTGATGGCCTAGCCTAGCCCAGCATGGCCCGCACCCCATCCTGACTCCTATGTATGCTGGTATGCTATGGTTTAGCCTTGCCCTGCCTAGTCTGCCCCCTATAGAGTCAACCCACACACCTGCCAACAAGTGAAGCAGCCCTTCCCAGCCTGACCAACACCCAGCTGACTCAGGTGCTCACCAGCGGGAGCAACAGCCCACAAGGGGAGTTCCCAAATTCCCCCACCAGGCCCACTCCCAGACCCAGATCTCATGTGCTGTTGGATGTTGCAGTCCAGCCTATCCCACACCCAACTCTTGGGTGCACCTGTGGGTGGTACAGCCTGGACTAGTCCAGCCTGTTTCCAACCCCAGTACCCATGAGTGTTGGTGAGATCCATGGTCATGCCTTAGCCCATCATCACTCCCAGCCCTCAAGCAAACAGGCTGACATGGCAGTCCCACGGGGTGATCCCACATATCCTCCACAGAATCTGCCCCCAGACCTGATTCTCTTGCATGCTGGGTAATGTCATGGCCTAGCCTGACATTTTCCACCCCTGCCCCAACACTCGCTGGTGCATACTGTGGTTGAGCCCTGCCATGCAGGCCTCCCATCCATGGCTTTCGTGTGTGCCAGTAGATGGTAGTTGATACCAACAAGCCAAGTCTAGGTCTCCCATGTGGGCAGGTGTTTTACCTTGGCCCTGAAAGGTCCTCCACTTTCCCTCCTCCAAACCACTTGGTCGCAGCCCCCTCATTTAGCTGCAAGTGCAGTAGCCTGGTTGGTGTAAGTCCCTCAGAAGTCACTCCTCACATGTCACATTCTCCCTCAGCACTCCTCTGTCCCACACAGCCTCAGACCTGCTTCTCTGAGCAATCCACAGCCCCCCATGTACATGAGAGCACCGATCCGCAAGCCCAGTCCTCCAGCAGTGTGCCAGCCTGGGGCCGTGCCCATCTGCCTGAGGCCTTAGGCCCCTTCTGCTGGTATGCCAGTGTCTGCTTGCCACATATTTTTGAAAAAAAAATGGAGTAGGTAACTATGTTGGCACACTGGTATAGCTAACACAAATTTGTCATTACCCAGGCCTAGAATGCCCTCCAGTTACTAGCTGCTTTTTTCCCAACAGTGACAAACTTGCCTAGGTACAGTGCAACCTAGGCCATCACCTACAGCTGGGGTCCACTGTGTTTTAAAAACATTTTCAAGGCCAATTTGTAAAAATGGGAAGGTGAAACAGCAATTGATCCCTTAGAATGGAGAGCAGCTTTGCCCAGTGTTTGGATTGCTTGTGCTGTCCTACTGAGTGCTGGTTTGGGAAGATGCCGAGTTCCATTCTGCTTCATTATTGAATGCTGGAAGAGGTGTTAGGCTGTGGATCCTGGCTCCTGGCTGTGCTCTCCCAGACGTAACCAGCACAGGGTTAGTTCAGTTAGCACGCCTCCAGCTTTTCAAGTCTCATTTGTAGGGTTTTGTGGGAATTGACTATGTATACCAATAATCGTTTATTCATTTGAAATTCTGCTGAGGGGTAGTGGTTTGGCACAGTGAGGAAGATGCCCCTGGGGTGCAGTAACCCTGCATCACTGGTTCAAGTGCCTGGCTTTGATGCCTTGTTCTGCCTCTGGTCGCAGCTTCCCACCAGCATGCACCCTGAGAGGCAGCACGTGATGGCTGAAGTGTTTGGGACCCTGCCCCCCATGGGGGACATATGGATTCCGTTCCTGGCTCCTGGCTTCGGTCTGCCGCAGAGCCAGGAATAACAGGCAGTTGGGGAGTGAACTAGTAAAACAAGATAGATATTCTCTCTCCTTTCTTTTTTCTCTCTCGAATAAAAAATTTTTAAGTTGGAGTTATACAGAGAGAAAGATCATTCACCTGCTGTTTCTCTTCCCAAATGGCCACAGTGGCCTGGGATGGGCCTGGCTGAACCAGGAGCTTCTCTGGGTACAGGGGCCTAAGCACTTGGGCCATCTTCTGCTGCTTTCCCAAGAGCATTAACAGGGAAACTGGGTTGAAAGTGGAGTCTCTGGGTCTCAAACCAGTGCCCATATGGGATGCTAGCCTCGGACATGGGGGCTTAACCCACTTTACCACAATGCTGGCCCCATAAATAAAGATTTTAAGTATTCTGTTGAAAATAAAGGCATTACATATGGCAAGATAAAAATGTCTGCAGTAGGCCCGGCATAGTAGCCTAGTGGTTAAGGTACCTTACGTGCTCTGGGATCCCATATGGGCTCCAGTTTGTATCCCAGCTGCTCCACTTCCCACCCAGCTTCCTGCCTGTGCCCTGGGAAAGCAGTCGAGGATGGCCCAAAGCTCTGCATCCGCATGAGAGTCCTGGAAGAAGCTCCTGGCTCCTGAAGGTCAGCTCAGCTCCAATCATAGCCGCCACTTGGGGAGTGAACCAACAGACAGACGATCTTCCTCTCTGCCTTTCCTTCTCTTTGCATATCTGCAGAGAGATAAAAATAAATAAATATAAAATAAATAAATATGAGCACACACATGTGTGTGTGTGTAGCTGTAGTAGACAATTCTAAGTAGCTATACCGAGCAGCAACTTACTTAGTAATACACGAATAGAGGGAAGATGGCAGACTGCTGACCTGGATGGCTGGGATCTCAGCAGGAGGGCTCACTGTTCTGTATCTGTTTGCCCCGTGTTCTCCTTTATGGAGAAGTTTGGATAAAAGAATTTTCTTTCTTTAAGAGTTATTTATTTTAATTGCAAAGTCAGATATAGAGAGGAGGAGGGACAGAGAGGAAGATCTTCTATCTGATGATTCACCCCGAGTGACCGCAACTACTGGAGCTGAGCTGATCCAAAGCCAGGAGCCTGGAGTTTCCTCCAGGTCTCCCACTCGGGTGCAGGATCCCAGGGTTTTGGGCCATCCTCGACTGCTTTCCCAGGCCACAAGCAGGGAGCTGGATGGGAAGTGGAGCTGCCGAGATTAGAATCGGTGCCCATATGGGATCCTGGCGTGTTCAAGGCAAGGACTTTAGCCATTAGGCTACAGTGTTGGACCAACCCCCCAAAATTTCAAAGGCCTTTTCCAGACCTACCGTTTGATTGCTTTACATGGTGGTATCAGTGAGGGTAGGGTGTATGGGTGCCCCCCCATGGCAAACTTTTCTGTCTGAAATAAATATGAACAATTAACGGTGCAAACAAGACACAATGTTTTGTCCACACTATTTGGTGGGGGGGAGGTGGTAAAAGGGCCATTGGGTTATGTGGTGATAATGAGTATTCTTTAAACCCTCTGGGTGTTTGTTGAATTTCATTCTTGCTTGTTTTTTAGACGGGAGATTAAGCAGTTACTGTCGGAGCTGGATGAAGAGAAGAAGATCCGGCTGCGGTTGGAGGTGGGTCCCTCAGGTCCTGCTGCCCCAGGCCTGGATACACCTGAGGGCCAGGGCTGGGTTCTGGTTTTTGGAGGTTCAAGGCCTCGGCTTCTTGCTCAGAAGTGTTTGTACAATCCTTCCCCACCCCCAGGAGGTTTTAAGGAAGGGAGCTGACCAGTGCTCATCTGGTAAACTTCTCCTCTGCAGTTTCTCTGAAACATCTTCCCTGAGGCCTTATTAGGCGGAGTGCCCCGAGGATGTGCTGCTGAGGGCCCCAAACCCACCATGTGCGCTCTGGGGCTGCAGGCGCCACAACTGCTCGCCCCAGCACTGGCTTCTGGTGTGATCATCCCCCACCCCCGGGTGGCCAGGGCATCTGTGCTCTGGCCCCCTACAGCCACTGGGACCCCACTTTGCCATGGCCAGATTTGGCTTTCAGCTTGCATCCATTAGGTGGCCTTGCTGCCCAATGGAAGGATGGGTAATTGTCTGCCGTCACTGGAGGGAGGACGATGGGTACCCCTCGGATGGCCTGCACTGCCTTCCACAAGTTCCAAATGGTCCAGCTTGTCAGAGCTGCTCATTCCACCCCGTGGCTACGAAACCACAATCATTGTCACATTTGACAGACTTTCCTTTCTGGTAGCCCAAGAATTAAGACACGTGCTGTTTCCTCGTGCGTTGTGGCAGTATGCCTGTTGTTGAGGTTCGTGTCATTTCTGCGTAGTAAGGCCTTCTTCACTCACACCGTTGCACCCATTTCACAAGTAAAATTGGCAGGTTGATGGCTGTCCCTCAACTTGAGGTTGATTATCTTTCACACTTCTGTGGTGCCAGCCAGGCTGTTAAGATTTTGTCCGATTCTTTCTGTTTTTTTCCCTCTATAGATGGAAGTGAATGACATAAAGAAAGCTCTTCAATCAAAATGAATACTTGATCAATGAGATGTCGCATTATTCATCCTGAGTCAAAGACTCAAATTTTCTGCCCCAGCCAAAATAATCTTGTGCCAAAAGATTCAAGGTTTGCCTCAACATGCCCCTGTTTCAAAGATTAGCACAAAACTCTTGATAGCACAGCACAAATCCCACCCAAGAGGAGAATCTTGCCCGTGGTGTAGTCCTGACTCGCGTTAGGTGCGACTTCAGCAGGACACATTGTGCTAACGGCTTTTCTACTTGGAGATCTCACGTGAAACGAAAACTCAGGCAGTTTAGTCCATAGTGGTACTATTTTGATGATATTTTCCATTAATAAAATGTAATTTCAGATGATTCGTTTACAAGCTTTATAATTTTATGATTTTTTTAAAAATTGTGTTTTGTCACAGATCCCCTTAGCGTGTGTGGCACACACAGTCAGGAGCGAGCAGCCCTTTCCCGGGCTTTGGGGGCGAGCTGCCCCGCTTCGTGTGCCCTTTAGCATTCTATCACATATGCAATTGTAGACCTAAGCTGTCCCTGCCCCCGCCAGCCAACCTCACCGCCCCAAGAGAAATGTGAGCTTCTATATGAACAGAGAGAGAAAAATCTGGTATTTGCAATGATCTGTGCCTTCTTTCTACCACCCCTCTTGATTGGAGCTTTTGTGATGCAGCTACCATGATTTTAAAAATAAACTCAAACAACAAAAGTCAGTAAATAGAAATGGCCACTCTCCGGACTCCGCTAGAGGCTACTGTCTTCAAGCTTCACTCACCCTTGCCACAGGTCGGAAGAAGAGACAGCCCTGAGGCTGGGCTGCTCCTTGGAGCCGGCCACAACTTGCCCAGTCCCTCCCACTTTTAAGTCGTTCATGAAACTAGAAATGTCATCCCTGCTTGATTTCTCATCAGCCAAGTTCAACCCTTGCTTCCTGTCCTTTGCACCTTTTGTGTGAACAGAATATGCATTATTAAAGCAAAAATAAATAAAAGCAAAATGCAAATGAGAACTGGGGGTGGGGGGGAAGTTGTATTATTTCCTGCACTTGTGTGTGTGTGTGTGTGTGTGTGTGTGTGTGTGTGTGTGTGTGTTTAAACTGTCCCCACAGAATGTCATCTGTCTTGCTTGCTCATAACCCCTTGCTCAGGCCAAGAGAATGGGGGTGGGGCTTGCTTCCAGCCTAGCCAGCAGCACTCTTGCATTTATGGCCTTGCTGGATCCTCTCCCCAGGAAGCCCACATTTACTCCTCTGCATTGTCTTGGCGCGCAGCAGCAGACTGTAGCCCCATTTCTCTGGCATGCTGAGATCAGAGAGTGGACTGTGAGTATGGACAGACGCCCGCGTCCTCGTGCCTGGGCCTGGACTATGGGAAGGGGTGTACACAGAAAACAGCCGCACATCTTCCATTCCTGTATCCGCATGCCTTGTCTTTAAAACAGCCTTGGTCTCAGGGAGCCAAGGTCATGGCTCCAAGGCCTGGGGCAGCAGTCCCTACCCCTTGACTGTTGTGTTTCCAGGTTAACCTTGAAGCCTTCAGAGATAGCACCTAATAGCAAAATGAGGACAGCATGCAGCAGTATTTAAAATTTTTATTCACTCACCATGAGAATCCCCAGTGAAATTTTTTCTAAAGATTTATTTATTTGTTTATTTTACTGGAAAGTGAGATTTACAGAGAAAAGGAGATACAGAAAGATTCACTCCCCAAGTGTCTGAAATGACCGAGCTGAACTGATCCAAACTCAGGAGCCAGAGGTTTCTTTTGGGTCTCCCGCACTGGTGCAGGGTCCCAAGGCTTTGGGCCATACTGTACTGTCCTCCCAGGCCACAAGCAGTGAGCTGGATGGGAAGTGGAGTAGCTGGGACATGAACCAATGCCTATATAGGATTGTGGCACATGCAAGGTGTGGAGTCAGTGAGTAGGCTATAGCATGGGGCCCAGTGATATGGTTTTATATAACACATATACAAAGTTGGCTTCTTAATTTAATTAAGTTGTGACACCCTCGAGGGGCACTGGCACATGTGGAAGGTACAGAGCTGATGTCTTCCCCTCATAGAGGCCATCAGCATCTTTGCTAGGAGAGGGAGAAGCAGTTTTAGAAGGAGCATTGGGCCCATCCCCCCACATTATTGACCCTTGAGCTAACCAGCAGGACGAGTACAGCATGGCACTGGATGAATTGGTGCTCAGCGGCTGCCATCTTCACTGTACAAGATGGACCCATTGGGGACACAGAAAAGCTTGGAAAGATCACTTTTGGGAAAAAAAAATAGGTTTGTATTAAGCACAAACTCAACCAGGCATCGATGGAGATCACTTTTTAGCCTCATTTTCTTTTAAGATTTATCTGTTTCTATTGAAAAGGTAGCCAGGAGCCTCTTCCAGGTTTCCCACGCAGGGTCCCAAGGTTTTGGGCCATCTTCAACTGCTTTCCCAGGCCACAAGCAGGGAGCTTGATGGGGAAATGGAGCAATCAGGACATGAACCTGTACCCATATCCTGGTGCTGGCAGGGAAAAACCTGCCTGTTGAGCCATTATGGTTGCACCCTCTGCCTTTATATATATATATATTCTTAATTACACTCTAGAAATAGTGGTGATGCCTACATGAGAGTGTGAATGTATTTCATGCCTTGGAAATGTACACTTTAAAATGGTCCAAAAGCTCCTCACTTGCAAGCAGCCCAACTCCAGCCCTGGCCACTATTTGGATAATGACCCAGCAGGTGGAAAATCTGTCTCCCAGTCTCTCCTTTCTTTCTCTGCCTTTTTGTTTAAGATCCATTTTTATTGGAAACACAGAGTTATATGGGGAGAAAAATCTTCCATCTGCTGATTCACTTCCAAAATGGTGGTGAGGGCTGGAGCTGAGCCCATCTTTAGCCAGGAGCTTCATCTAGGTTTCCCACGTGGGAGCAGGGACTCCAGCAGCATAAGCAGGGAAGTAGAGTATCTGGGAGGCACACCAGTGCCCATTTGGGACCCTGGAGGCCCATCTGTGGCCCTGGTAACCATCTGGGGAGTGAGCCCACGCGTGGAAAAGTTCTCTGTAATGCTACCTTTTTCTCTTTTCTTTCTTCCTTTCAATTTGATTTGTTTTTATTGGAACAACATCTCCTACATGGGTGCAGGATTCCGAGACTTCTGTTTAAAAATGTTTTTTATAAAGGCCTTAAGTATACATTTTTAGTGGGAAAACATTTAATTATCATTATGTGAATAATTGTGTAAAGTCACCTTTATTCATCTGCCAGGCAGGACGCCCAAGTCCATAATTGCTTCTCCCCTAAGGAGAGAGCTGTCTAGTGCCAGCTGTGTGTCTTTGGTCACTGGTTGGGAGATTTTATTTCTCTTCATGTTCTACTCCTTGATAGAAGACTGCAAGGTGTACTCTGCTCAGAATTGTCATGGTCCAAATTAAAATAGTGCCAAGGTCCCCCTGCAAAGGCCTCTATATTATAATCTGAGGTCACCATAGTCCCATTTTGAACTTAGATTAGATTTTAGTCCTTTTCTTATTTTAGCTCAAATTAATGTCAAGGTGTTTGGGCACCAAGAGGGCTTGAGAGAAAGCTTTTTCCTTCTGGATTTGTACAAATGAGAAACAGAACAAGGTCCTGTGTGGGGGGTCACTGTGTTCAGCATGCTGACTGAAGGGAATGCTGAGTTTGTGGGCCCACGGCCTGGGGAAGTAGATGCTGCTCTCCAGATGAGCCACAGTGGGGGAGGGGGGGCCCAAGGCAGAGCCAGATCCTTGGCACTGGAATCCCTCGGCACTGGCTTGGCACAGCCAAGGGAGGCCAGAGCCCTGTCCTGTCATTCCAAGCTTCCTCCCTAGGCTCATCCTTGATGCTTCCTGTGTCTGGGCGACGAGATCCCTGAAGCCCAGAAGAATCCTGGAAGGAGAGGCTGGGCCCCCAGAAGGGACTTGATTGTATGCATTTTCACACCATCCCAAATTGAAGTGGCCGCTGGGGCATCCCTTCCTGCTGAAGACAGTGTGTGCTCAAGGTTGTGAACTTGGAACTCACTGTAAAGGGACTACTTCTCTTGTTGGAGTGATAAGCGATAACTTATTTCAGCCAAACAGTAAAATGAAATGGTCTGGTAAGCTGTAGCTGAAATTTCCTGAGGAAAGAAAAAAATACTGAACAAAAGAGCTAGATTCCAGCAGACTAGCTTCCTGGGGCTATTCTCTTAAGATGGCAACAGTTTAATGAACTTACCCAGATATACCAATGTCATGGAAGTCTTAAATGTTCCCCCAAACTGCCATGCCAATTCTTCTTTATGCAATTTTAAAGGTTTATTTTATTAGAGTTACACAGAGAAGAAAAGATGGGGTATGGGGAGTCTTCCATCTGCTGGTTCACTCCCCAAATGGCCACAACAGCCAGAGCTGAGCTGATCCACAGCCAGGAGCCAGGAGCCAGGAGCCTCTTTCAGGTCTCCCACACAGGCACAGGGCCCCAAGGCTTTGGGCCATCCTTCACTGCTTTTCCAGCCACAGGCAGGGAGCTGGATGGGAAGTGGAGCAGGTGGTACACAAATCAACACCCACATGGGATGCTGGCGCGGCAGATGGAGGATAAGGCCCTTATATCACAAAGTCTTATACAATGTGACAGGTGCCTGAGAAAATCAAGGTTGGTTGGCATGCTTTGAACCCTTTTTAGGGCAGAAAGCTCCTGAAAATGTGAAAAAAAATCATAGTTTTTATTAGAATATTTTTAATGGTTTCTGCACCAAGTTTCAAATGTGCCAAGCTGATAAAACCATTCTGAAAGCAAAAAGAAATGTGAAGCAAGGAATAACATTTCTCAGATGGTTCCCCCAAGAAAAAGAAGTGTTTAAAAAGAAATGATGTGGATTATTTTTGAACCTTTGAATTGTTAAGTTCAATGTAAGAGAATGATTTGGCTGGGACTGAAAGCTAGGGACCAACCACATGCATGAAACGTCCACCATTCCCTGCCTTGGTCCCAGGAAGTCCTAACAAAATTTTTGTTCTCAAGTGGGGCAGCCTGCCTGGAGGAAGTAATGATGATGGTGACAAATTCCATGGCCGTGTAAACACACCCCCACACCAGATAGGTCTGTTCAGAAGTGTCTTGCCAATGAATCTTCATCTTCTTGAAAGGTTTAGGGGCTATGAGTGATAATTCTAGGATCAAATATAGAACCCAATCCCCTTGAGTGTTTTTAAATAGGTTATGTTTACTGATTATGAAGCTGATTATGCCCAAAATAAAGCATTAAAGAGAAGGCAGGAAGTATCCTAATCTTGTTCATAAAACTGCCTTTACTTTAGTCTCATAGTGGTGGCGGGTCTTTGTATATAGTTTGGTAGTCTGCTTTTTACACTTAATATTTCATTCCTATGTTAATTTTTTTAAAACCATGACTTGCCCTGGCTGCATAACATTCCATCTGTGAGTATACCGAAAAGCGCTTCACTGGTCTCGTCAGACAGGTAGGGAGTGCCGACAACGTACCAGATGTCAGGATAGGCAGGTCCCATGAGTGACCTACCCTCGGGGAGCCCAAAGTCCATGGCAAGAGAATGGGACAAGAGAGACCCAGAGGGTTTTGGAATGACAGAGACAAGGTGCCCGGTGGAGCCCCAGAGGTCAGGAGGGAAGGGCATTTTCTTTGTGTACCCGATGCCCGATACCTGTTAATGTGTTCAGCCTGCAATCGGTGCGCACTTCTGATTGGTACATAAGGTAACTCCTGCAAGTGGAACATGAGTTTAAGTTACCTGAGATTTTTTTAAGCCCAAGATAGCCCTTTCCTGATCAAGAGCAGAGTTGCACACAAAGGCGACTGCCTATTATTCCTTAAGCTTGTGCTACCTGCACCTTGGTGATGTCAGGTCCGAATCTCTTCCTTCTGGCTGCTCCCTCATTTAGATGTCACCTCATTGGAGAGGCTTTCCTGAATCCCCTAAATCAAAGAGTAACTGCAGTTCTAATGCAGCCCCAGTCCCCTGCACCCCCCCCTTTTGTTTATTTGTACACAGCCCCATATACTCCTCTCACGCTCCTCTGTTGGGTTTTGTTTCTCCTCAGAATGGAACCACTATGAGGAGAGTGATTTTTTTTCTCTCCCCACTGGATGTTTAGCACTCAAAATGTCAACATTTACACGATGCTCACTTGAAACATGTGACTGAACAGATGAAGTCGTAGTTGTCACTGATGCCCAGTGGAATTTATTCAATAAACCTGATCAGTCTGGCTTTTATCTTTACTCAAATGCCAGCACAAAACTACAGCATCAGGGGAGATGCGTGGCAAAGCAAACATACAAAGATGGCCTTCAGAGGGACCTTGCTCTGCTTCAGTCTCAGCCAACAGCTGGCTCCTAAGGAGAGTGGCTCTGGCATCCCTGTGGTCCTGAACAGCAAGTGCACGTGGTCCAGCACCATATGGCTAAGACTGTTGTCCACTATTAGAAAATTCTGGCTACTCCTCTTAAAAATATAAACCTTGTTTCGTTCTTAGATTCATTCTGAAGCAAGACAAATTATTGGCTGATACTTCTCCAAGGTCAGCTGGGAATCTCATGGCTGTCCCTAGGGACTGGCCACCTGTCTCCAAAAGGATGGATCAGTGGGACACATAGGTCAAGCCCAGGCTTCCAAGACATGCTCCAGGGCACTGGTTCTTGAGAGTTATCCCTGGGAAGATGTTGGTAGAAGTGAAAATTCTTGGGCCTCAGCCCAGACCTGCATCTGCAACTGGAGAGGATCCCAGTGGTGTGTCTTCTGTAGCCCTCCTGGTGATTCTGAGGTGCACCAAGTTCAAGGATCAGTGTCACGTCAGGGGTGGGGGTATCACAGTGAAATGCTTGTAAAATAAGCTACAACAATCTTTTCCAGAGAACGCTAGAAATTCTCTGAAGCAAGACAAAGTGCACCATCTAGAAATGCTGCCATAGTCTACTAGGTTGAAACATGGCATTAGCAGTTTTGTAGGCCAGATGTGGTTAAAGAGGACTTGTAGCTTGTGCTTCTTTACAGATGTGGAAAGACAACAACATCAACAATCTAGACAGATTGGAAATGAATCCGATTAGCACAGGAAATGGCCATTTTTATGTCTGGGGGACGCTGGGACCTTTGTGCAGGACTTTTATAAAAAGAAGTAGCAATCTCTTCCAGGAAACAGAAGACGGAGGGGAATGGTATTGCTTTGAAACCCTGACGAGGTAAGGACAGTACAACAATGAAAATAAGACTACAGATCGACATTGCTCTTGGACTGAACTGCCGAGATCCTCACTAAGTAAGTAGTGGTTGATTCAACTCAGTGGTTCATACAAAGAATTGTACACCACGACAAAACGGCACTTACGCTGCTTCAACACTGGGGAATCAGCGCAACCACTATGTCAGTCATATCAAGTGATAAGTCAAAAGTTTCTGAAAAAATCCAATATCATGCACAATAACAACTCTCAACAAACTGAGAGGGAAACTTCTTGCCCATTAACATGAAAGCAACATTATAGTTTGACTGAAAGAGCTGACATACTTTCCAAGATTGGAAAGAAGACAAGAATGCCCACTCTTCCTGCTTTTTTCAATGTTAGTACTTATTGCAAGTTCTCGTTCAAAGGGCATTGACATTACCAAGAAGAAATAAGACTGTCCCCATTTGCAGATTATATGGTTGTCTATGTAGGAAATCTCAAGGAAAGAAAACAAAACGTCATTAAATAATAACTAAACACACTTGCAAACTACAAATTCAACATGCAAGGAGTCGCATTTCTGCAAATATCCGTGAGCCTGTGTAGACAGGTCACTTACGATCACTTTAAGGAAAACAAAATTTGATATAAACTTAGCAACACATACACACACACACAAGAAAGTAAAAAATCACATACAGGATGGATACGCCAAAATGAGAAATTTTATTGAAAGAAGTAAGATCTAAATAGGGGAGGCATACTCTGCTCATTGCTTGGAAGTTCCAACCTAATTCTATCCAAATTAATCTGGTGGTTTAATATAATTCCTATCAAAATCCTAATGGGTTTTTTCATAGACATACACAAGCCTATCCCCAAATCTATATGTAAAATTACAGATCCTAATACAGCTAATGCAATATTTTTTTTTAAAAAAAAGGTTATTATGCATTTGGAAAGCAGAATTAGAGAAAAAGAATTCCATCCATTGGTTCACTCTCCAAATGACCACCAAAGTGGGGGCTAGGCCAGGCTGAAACTTCTGAGTCTCCCACTGGGTTCAGGGGCCCAAGCACTTGGGCCATCTTCCACTGCTTTCCCAGGTACATTACCATAGAGGTGGGTCAGAGGTGGAGCAGCGAGATTTGAACTTGCACTTCTTACGGGATGCCAGCATTATAGGCTGCATCTTAACTTGCTGTGCCACAACACCAGACCTACCCCCCTCCTCCAATCTTGGAAAAAAAGAAAAACCTCAAGTCTTACATCAAAATGAATTCAAAATGGATCATGCACTTAGGAATATGTGAGAGAATGTACACCTTTTCAGGGAAAATAAACAGGAGAAAAATCAGGTGAAGCAAGGAGTCCTTTCATTTGGAACTAAAAAGCACACTCCAGAAATAGGAAAATTTATAAATTGTACCTCTTCTACATTCAAAACTTTTGCTCTGAATGCATATTTAAGAGAATGAAAAGATACACTATAGAACATGATAAAAATGTTTGTAAAACCAGGGCTGGCATTGTAATGCATTATAGCTTAAGCTGGCGCTGGCATCCCATAGCTGTGCTATTTTGAGTCCTGGCTGCTCCATCCACTTCCAATCCAGCTCTCTGCTAAAGCCGTGGCTTCAGCCCAGCCCAGCCCAGGGCCATTGTGGTCATCTGAGGAGAACCAGTAGTTGGAACACCCCCGTCTGTCTCCCTCTCTTGGTGTAACTCTGCCTTTCGAGTAAACAAATCTGTTTTTAAAAACGCCTGTGAGCCACACACCCACCAAACAACTATTGTCTAGAATACGAAGAACATTCAAAACTCAACAAAAAATTGTCCTAATTTCCAATTAGGAAACGGGAAGAGGCAGAGAGATCATCCATCCACTGGTTCACTCCCCCAAATGGCCACAACAGCCAGAGCTTGGCCAGTCTGGAGCCAGGAACCGGGAGCTGTTTCTGAGTCTCCCAGGTGCATCCTGGGGCCAAAGGCTTTGGGCCATTCTCAGTTGTATTCCCAGGCCATTAGCATGGAGCTGGGTCAGATGTGGTGCAGTAGGGACTCAAACCAGCTTATAGATGGGATCCTGGCACTATAGGTAGGGGCTTAACACGCAATGCCACGGTGCCATCCCCCAAACGTTAATTTTATTATATATATATTTTTAAATTTCTGAATAAACTCTCATATTCCTTTTTTAAAAGATTTATTTATTTATTTATTTATTACAAAGTCAGATATACGGAGAGCAGGAGAGACAGAGAGGAAGATTTTCCGTCCCATGATTCACTCCCCAAGTGAGCGCAACGGCCAGTGCTGCACCGATCCGAAGCCGGGAGCCAGGAACCAGGAACCTCTTCCAGGTCTCCCACACGGGTGCAGGGTCCCAAGGCTTGGGGCCGTCCTCGACTGCTTTCCCAGGCCACAAGCAGGGAGCTGGATAGGAATCGGAGCTGCCGGGATTAGAACCGGTGCCCATATGGGATCCCGGCGTGTTCAAGGCGAGGACTTTAGCCACTAGACCACGCTGCCGGGGCCCCAAATGTTAATTTTAAAACGGCATTAACCAGGGACCAGCACAGTGGCTCAATAGGCTAATCGTCCACCTTCAAATACCGTGATCCTATATGGGTACTGGAAAAACAGTAGAAGATGACCCAGAGCCTTGGGACCCTGCACCCATGTGGGAGACCCGGAAAACGCCCCTGACGCCTGGCTTCAGATCGGCTCAGCTGTGGCCGTTGTGGTTAATTGGGGAGTGAACTAGTGGATGGAGGGGTAAAAAATAAAATTAGTTTTATCTGAAAGGCAAAGTTAAGGAGGAAGAGACTCGACTCTAATCCCCCCACATAGCTACAGCTGGGCCAGGCAGTGCTCAGGCGCCGGGAGCCCAGTCACAGGTGTCCCTCGTGAGTGTGAGTGGCCAGAGCCCCCATCACTGCTGCTCCCCAAGGACTGTCAGCAGGAAGCTGAGGCCGGGCTGGGGAGCATCATGGAAGGGGGACCAGTGTGGGACAGGGGTGAGGCAGACGCAAATACTGAAACGGCCTTGCCAGGCGGGAAGAGCCCTTGGGGGTCGTTGTATTTCGTGGCTTGAGTGGGCAGCCTAGTTTATTTACCAGGCAAACAAGGCTCGTTGTCAAGGTCAAAAACCTCCAGGACCGCAGCCTTGCAGAGAGGAGCGCGATCGGCAAGAGCGCAAAACGGAGCGCGCGTCCGTCCCAACGCTGACTTAAAAGAACGCCTTGAACGAGGACCTGAGCATTTCTCCTCAGCCGGCGCGAAGGGCTCTTGCTGCAAAGCCTCAAATGTCTGAGGAGGGTAAAAAAAAAAAAAAAAAAGAACTGTTGCGGCGCCTCGTGGGGGTCGGGCTGCAGAGCCGACGAGACAGCCGCCGGCAGCGTTCCCGCTGGCCTTGGCCCCGCCTAGCCCCGGGCGCGGGCGGCGGCAGGAGGCGCCCCTCGTGCGTTGCCCCGTGGCGCCCGCCCACCTCCTGCGGCGTCGGCCCGCCGTCCGCGCTCGCCCTTCTACGCGACGCAGCCCCCTTCTGCTTCTCGCATTTCGTCAGCCGACGTTCGAGGTGGCGGCCGCTGAGTTTCCCTCAGCAGCCGGTGCGGGGATCGCGCGCACCCCGCAGGGTGACAGCAGCGCCTTAGGGATCCCAGCTCGGTTCCCGCGTGCGGACAGCGCGTTCTGGGGCTGTGCAGCGCCGCTGCCCGAGGTGCCAGCCAGGGGCGCGAGGGGACGACCTAGGCGGGCCTCGCCGGCTGGGAGCCTGCACAGTAGCAGAGACATGGCTGCCGTCGGGGCGACAGGAACGACCCCTCCGGCCCCGCGGACGCCGCCGGCCGCCGCTGAGTTCGGGCAGCCCGACGGGGCGGCCGCGAGCCTGGAGGTCGGGAGCGGCTTCCAGGACGTGCCGCGGCGGCCTTTGCGAGCAGTATACGTGCGCAGCGATGACCACACGCGCGACGGCTTGCTTAGCCGCACCGTGGCGGGGGCCTGCCGCTGCCTGCTGCAAGCCTGCGAGGCGCGGGGCGCGCAGCTCACTTTGCTGCCTTTCGCTGGACTCGACTTGGGCGACCCTAGCCTGCTTGAACTCTTCTACAACTCAGGTGAGAGCGCGCGTCTGCGGCGTGGCCCTCACGCCGCGCTGCCGGCCTCGCCCCGCGCCGCCGCCGCCCCGCGCCGACTTCCCCACCCTCGCGCCTCACGGCCGCTTTTGGGGGGCACACCTAGCGTTGTGGTCTTTTACAGACAGAGTGAGGGTGCCGCTGTGGAGACCTCGGCTTTTACCACTGGCTTCGAAACTCTGCGGGGGCCCAGACGGCGCCGAGTCCCTCTTGCCCCCCGGTTAGCCAGCTTTGACCTGGTGCCCCATGGCGTCCCCCTTTCGGCACTGGGTCCCCACCAGCAGCTTTACAAACTCGTGGGGCGTCCCGGGCCCCGGAGCCCGCGGCGCCCGCCCTCCGCGGCCAGGGCGCCAGGGTTCGCACCTGTTCTGCCCCGCTCCCGCGCACGCCCGGCCCGCGGCAGGGCTGGGGGACCCCGCACCTCGGGCCTGGGCCGTCCGCGTCGCCCCGTGCCCCCCGTCCGTGGCGTCCGGAGCTCTTGCCGGCGGGAAGGAGGGGGCTAGGCGGCTCAGACAAGTGGCAGCTGGCCGCGCCGAGCGCAGGCGGCCGCATCCCCCTCGCTTCACCCAGCGCCCGGTGGGGAAGCGCCCCGCAGGCCGCTCCCCCTGGAGCCACCCCGCCATCTCGAGGGGTGTCCATTCCGAGCGCTGGACTCAGACGCGTCTCTGAGGTGTAAAGTGTCCCTTTTGCAAAGAGGCACAACTCCGGCCTCTTCCCAGCTGGTGCCAACTCTACAAAACGTGGCTGTGCTGTTCTTGGGGGCGCGGTGGTGTGTGTGCACGCGCGCCTACGGTAGTGAACGTGTTCTGAATGCACCATTGTAATTTGGCGGGTTTTTCCTTGGTTAACTCGCAAAATGGCGGCCTGGGCCGCCAGCGTCCCGCTTGGGCGGGTTCCTATCGAGCCGCTCTGCGTTCGTTCACTTTGCCTTGTGGCCTGGGAAAGCGGGAGAGGATTATCCGGGTCCTTGGGAACCCGCGCCGCGTGGCAGACCCGGATGGAGCTCCTGGCTTCACAGCTCAGCTCCAGCCCTTGCCGCCATTTTGAGAGTGAATCAGCAGATCAAAAGAGTTTTCTCTCCTTCTCTCTGTAAATCTTGCCTTTCAAATAAAAATAAATAAGCCTTTTAAAAAAAAAAAGTTAGAAGGGGCGACTGGGAGGGAGACCCGCCACTTGCTGGGTCAGCCCCACATGGCGGCCGGGGTCGAAGCTGGGCCGCTTGCAACTGAGGTTTGCGACTCTTCTGAGGTGTGCATTTCCACAGCATCAAATACATTCACACGCTCACGTAGGCATCACTACTATGTGTTTCTAGAACATAATTTATTTGAAAGGCAGAGGGGGCGAGCAAGGTGGCTAAACAGGCTGATCCTCTCCTGACCCCGTATGAATGCTTAGAGCCCCTGTAGGTGTGACTTGGAGTCCATGCTGCTCCACTCAGAATCCAGCTCCCCGCTTGTGGTGTGGGAAAGCGGGATGTGATCCGGGACCTTAGGACCCTGCACCCATGTGGGAGGTCCTTCAAGCTTCTGATCAGCTCAGCTTGGGCCCTGGCCGCCATTTTGGAGAGAACCAGCAGGTGGGAAATATTCCTCTCCCCTTCTCTCCTCTCTGTAACTTTGCCTTTCCAATAAATATAAATAATTTTTTTTAAAAAAAGTTAAAAAGAAGCAGAGACTGGGAGAGAGATTTTACACGGCCTTACATCTTATTGCTGCGTCATTCCCAAAATGGCTGTCACACTCGGAACTAGGCCACTTCCAAGTGAGAAGGTTTTCAACCGTTCTAAAGTGTGCATTTCCAAAGCATAAAATACTTTCATTAGGCACCCTCACTGTCTATTTTTTTTTTAAAGATTTATTTACTTTTTTTTGCAAAGTCAGATATATAGAGACGAGGAGAGACGGAGATCTTCCATCCGATGACTCACTCCCCAGGTGTGGCTGGAGTTGAGCCAATCCGGAGCCAGGAGCCAGAAACTTCCTGCAGGTCTCCCACACGGGTACAGGGTCCCAAGGCTTTGGGCCGTCCTCCACTGCTTTCCCAGGCCACAAGCAGGGAGCTAGATGGGAAGCAGGGCTGCCAGGATTAGAACCGGTGCCCATATGGGATCCTGGTGCTTTCAAGGCAATGACTTTAGCCACTAGGCCCTTGCGCCATGCCCAGCACCATCCCTTTCTATTTCTAAAATATGATTTCAAAAAAAGATTTATTCGGGCCCGGCATGGTGACCTAGCATAACGGCCAAAGTCCTTGTCTTGAACACACCAGAATCCCGTGTGGGTTCCAGTTCTAATATCAGCTGCTCCACTTCCCATCTAGCTCCCTGCTTGTGGCCTGGGAAAGCAGTCAAGGATGGCCCAAAGCCTTGGGATCCTGCAACCGTGTGGGAGACCCGGGGGAGGCTCCTGGTTGGATGGGCTCAGCCTTGGCTGTTGCGACCACTTGAGGACTGAAGCAGCAGATAAAAAAATCTTTGTCTCTTCTCCTTTCTGTAAATCTGCCTTTCTAAAAGCTAAACAAAGCAAAGCAAAAACATAAAACACCTAAAACTGCAGCAACATTACAGAGAGATCGGTCTCCCGTGAATTCACTGGCAGAATGGCCACTAGGGCAGAGCTGAGCTGCTCACAAGTTAGGGCTTTTTGACCGTTTTTTCAAGTGTGTAGTTCAATGCATTTCAATGTGTTTCTGCTCACCTGCAACCATTACCACTATCTATTTCTGTAATATACATATTTTGGAAAAGTCTTTATTTGAAAGGCAGAGTTGGAAGAGACATATCTTCATCCACTGATTCACCCCTCAAATGGCTGCTATGGCTGGGCTCTGGCTGTCCAAAGCCATGAACCTGCAGCGTCTTTGCTGTTTGCCCCCAGCTTGCAGCGTCCCAATGATGTGGGTCATCTGCTGCTTTCTCAGGCGCAGTGTGGGAGCTCTACCTGGAGCAGCAGGGGCTTGAAGAGCATTTCTGTATGGGATGCTGGCATCGCAGGCAGTGCCTTAACCCACTATACCACAATGCCAACCTTTATTATTGCTAATAAGTGGAATAATACAGTGTGTGTGTGTGTGTGTGTGTGTGTGTGTGTGTCTGTGTGTGGCTTCTTTGACTTAGCATATTGGCTTCAAGGTTCTTCATATACAACTCAGTTCTTTTTTAGGGTTAATACTCTGTCGCATGGATGCATGGATATATACTGCATTTTGTTATTCATATGTCAGCATTTCTTAGGTGGAATTTGCTGGTCACCTGATGATTGGATTTTTTGACAAGCATCCCAGTTGTCTCTGACAGAGACAACGGCCATCTTTGTGCGTCCTTAATGCATAGCAAGAGCAGAGTTGATTTTCAGGCTTCAGGCCTCAGTCCCTATCCTGCAGAATTAGCACTTCCGTGAGTGAGGCTCGGTCCCCAGTCAGCTCCAGTGCGGGGACTTCAGAGGCCTTGGGAAGTGCGTGTTATGAAGATGCATGGCATTGACAAAGTTTTGGCCCCCAGATAAACTTTGAATTCCATCAGCTGTGCACTGTATATGTTTGGACAGCAAATCGTGCCCTTTAGGCATGAAAATCCTCTCTGCTGGTTGCTTCTGCTGGTTTGGCTTCATTGCCCACCTCTCTCTACAGAATTCTGTGTTGGGACTCTCCTGGTGGGCTGCAGGCACGGACAGCTGGGACCTGAGCAGCCGTGCCATTGAATTTTTGCTTGTGGTGGCAGAGTTGACGGTGGGTCCCAGAACGGTAGAATGCAAGGCCATTATGTCCTGGAAACAGTCCGCTTCTGGCCGCAGGTCTCGGGGGTGCATTTGCTGGTTAGTTAATGACCAATGGGAGTTTTCTTGAGTTAGCCATTAACCCCTGTAATGTCCAGCACAGCCCTTTTGATCAGGCTGCGGCCATCAGTGCCTGAGGCACGAGTCACCTGCCCTTTGCTGCTGCTGACTTTGTGGAACCTCTCCTCTAGGAACCTGATTTGAAATACCCATTTCCTGAGCTTTGGGGGTCCTGTGCTTTCTCCAGTTGCATTCACAGGGATGCACTGGCCCCAGAAAAACCGCTGTGTTTCCTAAACACTGATGTAAAGAGCAAGACTAGAACTTCCTTGTCTTGTTCACTTGACTTTGTCCTAGCCTGAGGATGTACTGCTGCCCTGGGTGGCTCTTGAACTGCTCAGAGCGGGGAGAGAAAGTACGTTTTGGTAATTCACATGCATTTGCTGGCACCCTGAGAATCTGATGTATTCATACATTCATTGGATAAAAATAAAAAATTAATTTTGAAATGGCAGCGAGAACTGGATGACCAGATCTGTGTTCCTATTGTTGCTGGGCAGCAAGGCCTCATCTCCCAGTGTCTTTTGCGTCTAGGTGGGCTGCACTTCTGGCCCAGGGCAGGTAAGCTGGTGGAGCAGGAACATCAGTTTGGATTTTGCTGGAGGAAGAGAAAAAAGCTTTAAGGTTACTGAAATTTGGCAGGTACTTGCAATGGTACGAAGAAAATGTAACTTTGTTTATGACAATTTATTCCGACTCGCTAGAATGTTCTGTCCTAAGGCATGCTGTCATACCGAGAGAGAGCCCATGCATGCAGTACCCCTGGGACACCATGCTGTGTTGCTGTGGGTTAAGAAGAAATACCATGCTTAGGCCTTCGGGCTAATACCAGGAATGGGGTGAGGTGTCAGTTTCTCTTCTTTAACCATTCACTAGTTTGGGAGGCTGTGTATTATTAACCTTTTTTGAAAAGATCGATTTGTGGGCCCAGTGTGGTAGCCTAGTAGCTGAAGTCCTCCCTTTGCATGCACCAGGCTCCCATGTGGGTGCCAGTTTGTATCCTGGCTGCTCCATTTCCTTTCCAGCTCCCTGCTTGTGACCTGAGAAAGCAGTGGAGGACGGCCCAAAGCCTTGGGACACTACACCCACATGGGAGACCTGGAAGAAGTTCCTGACTCCTGGCTTTGAATCTGCTCAGCTCGGCTGTTGCGGTCACCTGGAGGGTGAACCAGTGGGTGGAAGATCTGTTTTCCTTCTCTCTCTAGGTCTGACTTTCGAGTGAAAAGAAATAAACCTTAAAAAAAAAAAAGATAGATTCATTTATTTGAAAGGTGGAATTAGAGGGAAAGACAAAGACCTTCCATCCACTGGTTGACTCCCTGTATTTCTGCAACAGCCAAGACTGAACCAAGAAAGCCAGGACTCAGGAACTTCCCCCAGGTCGTCCATGTGCTTGCCAGAGGACCTGCCAAGTGTTGTGCTGCTTTCCCAGGTCCCTTGGTAGTGAGCTGGGTCACAGTGGAGTAGCCATGGCTCAAAATAGGGCCTCTAAGGGATACCCATGCCCCAGCTTCACCTGCTGTGGCGAAGCCCCAGCCCCAGCGTGCCATGTTCTATGTGATGCTGATGGTTAGCCAAGGTCCTGTGGTGCCAGACTTTGTGCAAGAGCTCTACGGGCTAGTTTCCAAAGTGGTAGCTGACACTCCCACATTGCAGTACCTGGCTGCCTTCTTAATTCCTGCTTCCTGGCAGTGCAGACCTGGGGAAGCAGCAATGAGGGCTGTGGGACTCGGCTTCCTGGGACCTGTGTGGGAGACCTCCGTTGCGTCCCCAGCTATCCTGGCTTTGACTGCAGCCAGGGGCTGTGGCAGGCATTTGGAGAGTGGGCCAGCAGACTGGAGCACACTTTACTCCTGCCTGCTCTCGGTCCACCTCTGCCTCATCAATAAAAGGTTAAAAACAAAACCCAGGGTGTGAACTAGCTTAGGGTAAGAAAACACTAGTTGTGCCTTCTGCCCTCTCCGTGGTTATGTGTGGCTTCTCCTTATGTGTTGGCCTTGCAGGCTTTTTAAATGCATTGTGCAGCTGGGACTGCGCACTGGGTACCTGCATGTTCTCTCACATTTCCAAATATCCTATTGAGGAAGCTTGCTGGCATGCCTCCCCCGTGGCTCTTGGCTTGTGTGCTGGCAGCTCATTCAAGATGGCAGGTAAGCACCGGGGCTTTGCAGTCATGGGCTCGCCCTGTTGGGAAGGAGCCTGGCAGATGCCTTCAGACTTATTTAGTTAGCTACTCTTCTTGTTCTGGAAAATGAGAAGCTCGCAGGAATGTGGCCTTCGGGGACCAGTGTGTTTGATGGCTGTGGAGTGGGGCAGCACTTGCGCTCCTAGAATTGGGGTGGCCTCTGCACCTGCTCAGGAGACTGGGCAGATTGGATTCCAGCAGTGGGAGGCAGTAGCTGCCTTCCACATCGCCTTCTGCAGGGTCGGTAAATGCTGCTTGTGTGGCAGACACCTGGGAGCCTAGCCTTTTCTGCAGAGCCGCAGCACCCTTCTAGCTCATCACTTCCAAAGTGGAGCCCCAGCCTCTCCTGGCGCGGCTGCTCTAGGTGCGTGTTGCTGGCCTGGAAGCCGCGGTACTCTGGCTCCTCTGGCTGACACCTGTTCGGGCTTCACACCGGAATGCTTGACCTGCTGTTTTCATTGCTGGCTTCTGTGTGCTGAGGTTTTCTTTCCTCGCAGGCAGCATGGTTGATGCGATCAGTGCTCTTCTGCCGGGCAGCAGGTTCTTTGAGAGTGGGAAGCCACAGGCAGTTTTCTTTGCTTCCGTGTCATCCCTGGGCCTGTGCACCCAGCACCTTTTCAGAAGCGTCACTGGGCACTCCTGACACTCGGCCTCCTGTGTCGAGATGACACAATTGATTTTGAACCCTTGAAAGAAATTTGGAATGTCATCTCCTGAGGCCAGCATGTGGGAAATGGTGGTGAGACAGTGGCTATGGGGTGCAAAGGAGTGAGACCTGGCCGCCCCATGACATGGTGGTAGACATGAGCCTTTCTCCTCTCTGGTGAGTATTAAATAGAAGAAATTAGCAGTACACGTGCTGCTCGTGCTGGAGTGGAAGCAGTGAGCCCACTTGGCCGTGGAGGATAGTGCCGGTGAGTGCTTGGCCAGGCTTTCTGTAACACACTCGTGTTCATACTGTACTCTTAGTAGTCTAGTTTTGCCCCCACCTTATCTGCAGAAATACATCCTCAGATGCTCCATGGATAGCGGAAACGTCAGGTCATGCCAACCTGCTCCGCCCTGTCTTTCCCCAGACTATTCCTGTGTACCTGGAATGAGGTTGAATTTGTAAGTTGGTACCATAAGATAGTAGTGGTAGTAAAACTGTACAGTTGTGACTCTGCACTATAATGAAAGTGATTTAAAACTTAAGAATTACTTTCTAGAATTTTCCAAGCCCACAGGTAACCGAAACCTCAGACAGGTGGAGACTCAGTATCCCAGTGCGTTATCACCTCCATCTTCCTCCCTGCGCCAGGAACAAGAATGCGCGGTGTTTCTGAAGGGCTGGTTTGGACCTTTTCTGCACTTTGTACTAAGTGTGATAGCACAGTTTGTACCTTTTAGAGTGTGACTCTTTTGGTTCAAAACTATGCAAGATTCCTCTGTGCAGTGAACATAGCAATGCTTTGTTCATGGTTATTTTGAGATTTATTAAGTTTGATTGGAAAGGCAGATTTACAGAGAGAAGGAGAGACAGAAAAAAGATCTTTGTCCGCTGGTTCACTCCCCTGCCAGAGGCCGCAATGGCCAGAGCTGAACCAGTCCTCAGTTAGGTCTCCCACGCGGGTGCAGGGTCCCAAGGCTTTGGGCTGTCCTTGCTGCTTTCCCAGGCCACAGGCAGGGAGCTGGATGGGAAGCAGTGCTGCTGGGACCCAAACCAGTACCAATATGGGATCCTGGTGTGTGCAAAGTGAGGACTTTTTTTTTATTATTATGGAAAATTGTAAATACACATAAAAGCAGAGAGAATAGCATTAAAAAATAATTTTAAAAAGTTTAAAAAAATCCAGCATAGATTTCCCTTTAATCTCTTCATCATAGATCTTGACATAACTTTGCTAGCCAGAACCTATTTGTGGAAGTGTACTGACCCTGTTTATGAGGCCGCCTTTCTCCTGACCTCGTCACACTCTGAAGGCCACACATCCTAATACCATCACGCTGGGTGGGAGGGTTCAACACACAGAAGTAGAGGGCTGTGACTGTTGAGGCTGTAGCACTGGTGCAGGCACACACCCGTGCCGGGAAGTGACGAACACATAGGCCAGCCCCCCCATTTTCTGTGTGCCAGAAGGAGCGCACGTGATCAGGGAGGGGTTTGTGGAGCTCTGACAGTACAGGTGCTCTCGTGTGACCTTGCGTGATGGCTGTGTCTTTTTGACCTTCATTATACCTTATACTTAACATAGATGAAACATAGGTGAATAAATTTATTAAGTATGTGATATATTTCCTAATGAGAGCAGCATTAAAAATAAACCCCCCAGCAACTGCTGAGGCGGTATTCCCAGCACTTTGAAGAAAGAATTGTGGTTTTTTTAAATTTATTTTTTAAAATTCTTAACTGCATTTCTTCCACAGTTCTTCTGGGTAATTTTAATCTACTCATTCCCTACCCTTACTTGACCTCAAATGCCGGTGATCAAGCTGGAAGTTGCTGGAACTTTGCACTGATTTGTCAGCTTGTAGGTTAAGCAGACCAGCCGCCTCCACCAACTGGTCCTCTTCTTGTTCGTTGCAGATGTGGTCTTTGTCGATATGAGCAATAGCTGCACACAGGCAACCTTGTTCTACCATTTTGGAGTCCGCGAGAGCTTTGACATGACCAATAACGTGATCCTGTTCAGCGACATGGATGCTGACATTACACTGAAGGTGAGGGGGTTGGCTTGCTTCCTGTGGGGAACGCAGAGTTCTGCAGAGCCAAAACACATCTGAATTGCAGAAGGGCTGTTGTGGGCAGCGCTGAAGCTGTGTCCCCCTGAACTCTGGCCACTGACTGAGCGTCTGGGAGAGCTTGTGCGTCTGCAGGCCCATCAGCGACAGGACCCACCGACACTGCGAGCCTGTACTGCAGTGCACCTGCCGCTCTGTGAATGGTTTTTTACAGCCTGCTATTTAGCAGTTAATAAAATGAACAGAAGATTTTAACATGGATGAAATCAGTATTTAATCTGTGACTTCCTCTCAGTTTCGTATAAGCAATCCTGGAGATCATAGTACTTTGAAATGCTTTTATTTGTAAAGGGTTTATGTCTAGTATGATTTACTCCAAACGTAAACTGTTCTTAATATTGCAGGAGATCTTAGTATTGGTCAGAATAATGATAACCTTTCTTGGGTCATTTTAGGAATAAAAGATGAGCTTACGGCTTGTGTTTCTCAGCTTAGACTGCTTTCGAATCACCAGACAGCTTGTACATCTGTCCCCCTGGGGGCTGGTTGGGTCCCTGTGGTGAGGCCTGGGCCTCGGGATTTTATTAATTTCCCAAATGGGCAACCACAGGGACGAGCTGGGATTTGAAGAGTTGGCCTCCACAGACATCAGATATCCATGTCTGATGCCCTTGGTGTGAAAAGCCTCGTATATGATGAGACAATTTTATGACAAAGTTGGGACGTTTTTGCTTGTTTTTCAAAGGTTTAAGATTACCCAGATTGCTGTGAGTTTTGTGATAATTGGAGATGGTTATATCCTGGTAAAAACACTACCTGCTTCAGTTGTGTAGCCTGAGCATTACAGGCACTTTACACTGAGGAGCCATTCAGTAGCAGTGAAGGAACTATTTTGTATATGTTCTAGAATCATTGGCCAAAGGCTTTTAAACCACTATAAATGGCTTCAGAGATTTTATATTGATTTTTTTTCATACTGTTTTTGTCATGTCATAGTAGAAGCATTTGGAAAATGTGAAGTTAGATTATTAGCCTATAGTTGGAAAATGCAATTTTTTTCCAAGTGAATATATATTTCCCCAAGTCAATGTATCTTTTTCCACATCAGTGTATTTTTTCTAATTCAGGGTGTTTTTCCCCAAATAATGGATTTTGCAATTCCGTACCTGCCCCTACTCCAGCTATGCCTTAGAGAAGGCTTCTGGAAAAGCCCCCAAGGCTAGATAAGTTTGAATGTTAATGATAGGAAAAGTATTTCCTGAAATGGATGTGGGTAGTTATATCTCAGACCAGAAGAAGGAACCTGCTCATGTTCTAGAAAAAGATCTTGGGCTGAGAGTGCTTCAAAAAGATTTTGTGTGAAATGTGTATTATGGAAAAAGAAATGGTTAAAGCTTTTGCACCAGAAGTAACTTACCTTTTTTTAAAAAAATTTTTTTTTCATTAGAAAAGCTGGGAGCCAGAAGCTTCCTGCCCGCAGTATTGTCACTGCCATCAGAAAACCCTTAGCAGCAGAAATGTCCCTAATAGTCCCAAAACTCCTGAATTCTTTGAAATATGATTTTGACTATTCATAGAAGTCTATTCTGTTGGAAACTTTTAAAAAATGTTTATCTAAGGTGGGTGGAAAGTTAATGCTTATGCAAATTCACTGTTTTGATTTTGTAAAGCTATAATTATGTTTTTTCTTTCAGGATATGGTAACTCCAGGCAACATAGTAAGTATTGCATTTTTTTACATTTAGGCTTATGAATGTAAATTTGCAAAATGCTTGTCTACCAGTCACACAGTGATGAGTTATTCCAAAAGAGGAAAAGCTAGAGACCCTGGTGCCTTGCCTTGACAGGTGGCTCAGGTCTTTCTTGGCCAGGGACACGTTGCCACAGAAGATCAAGCGTGCCACAGGATGGCACTGAGCCTAGAGTTATCCGTGTGTCTGCTGGATCTTAGTTGTTCCTGGTAGAACCAGTATCTCCCATAATTCCTGCCAGTTTCCCTAGCAATGCAGGAGCATAAACTTGTTCTTCAGTCAGTACAGGTGTCTAGAATGAGGTTTCCTGCGACATGGTGCTAGGACGTGAGATAGAATTCTGCTTGCTTCTGTGGCATTCAAGTACTGATGGCTCTTGATTTGACCTGAAAGTGCCTGTGGTTACTTGCTTTGATCTCCATGCTTGTTTGAGTGGTCGGTTGAAACCAGCACCCAAAAAACATCCAGATGTGAGAATGTGCTCTGAAATTGTGCCTGAGCCTCTCTGGCGCCTCCAAGCGTACTGCAAGCTGCCCCTCCTCTTCACCCTGCATCTATGGCATTCTGGTTTGAAGGTCCCTAACCTAGACTCAGGCCAGCTACTTGTCTTTGAACCTTAACTCCTTCCTTCTGGCCCCTCTGGACAAAAAGCACCTCCTGCCTTTTTTTCTAATCCACCTGTGGTTTCTAGTGAGAGGGAGAAAGGGACCTGGAAGGGAAGCTCTCCCCAGGGCGCCCTCTGCAGGGCAGCACAGAAGGTCCCACCCACAGCGGACAGACCAGGCTTCCCTGAGGTGCCCACAGAGCCCCCTGCTCAATGGAGGCAGAAAATTTCCCTCTCCTCCCCTCGTGGAAGGATGAATTCCAGGAAACAAAGCAAAGGGTGTAGTTTATATGATTGTTCTGGGGCATGGACTTAATAAGCTGGTCTGTAGAAGCCATGAGGGTGGTTCAGAAAAGACATGGGACGGAGCGTATGACTATTTTCATTCCATTTATGTCCTCCTGGTGTGCACTGTGGAAGTATTTGCTGTTCTTTAAAGATCTGGACTTTTTGAATTAGCGCTGTCATTGAGAGATAAGGTAGCCATTGCTGGAGATGGCGCCTGAGACATGCTGGCTGTTGCAGCCCTGTCTTCGAGTAACGCTGGGCAGTTGCTCCTTCCCTGTCCAGGCCGCAGAACCCTGTCCTCAGCAGCAAACTGGCAAATGCCCTCTGTTTTATTCATACACCTTTAGCACTCAGGTCTGCAAATCCATATTTCTTGTATAAGCAAGAAGCCGTGGCTTGGATTGAACACACCATATGTCTATGGGAAGTTTAATCCTTAAAACAACAGGAGTTATTGTAAAGCGAGGTGCAGGAGCAACAACTCAGCCCCTACCCTGCCCTGTCCGTGGATTTGCACTTGGAAATGTTCTTGTCTTCCAGAAGACTTAGCGTTGTTCTGTTACAGTTCTACTGTATATGCTCCCTTCTGGTACAGTCTGCCTCCTTTAAACACCCGGGCATTCCTTAACATGCTTAGTTATCTGAAGCCTGCCTTGGCACTGTGCTTCCTGGTTATCTTGTCTCTGTTGTTGTTGTTGTTGTTGTTGAAGGAACACATTTTGTTCTCAAGGGTTTTTCTGCTATAATTGAGATTGTGTTGGGATTTTATGCCCAATAAGGGTTGTGAGGCTTGGCAAGGTGTGAACATTGAGAGCATTCTGAAAACTAATGGAAGACTAATGGAAAGTGGCTGGAGGGGAGGAGCTGCCTGGCAGGGTGGAGGGAGTTGGGGGAAGCTGCTGTCACCAGTGCCCATCTTCTAGCGTTGTCCTCTTTCTGAAAGTGAGGAGACAGATTTTCCACTCCAGATGGGATGGAAGCAGGGCAAATAGGAAAATGGTTGGGATCAGTAGAATAGACAACTTGGAGCTAATGGTGATTAAATATTAAAATGAAATGTCCCAGTAAATTGGGTGACTTTTTAGGAGGACTTGCTCAATTGTTTCTTCTCTCTACATGAGGTAATACTGCAGTCAGGCCTGGACCTGATGACCATGAGAGGTTTGGAGGGAGAACCTGATTTGTTTGGAATTGCTTTGGGAACACATTTTGAAAATACAGAATGTAGTCCCCAGTTAGTGACCCATGAAGTCCTGTGAATCCTGGGTACATGCTGTGTGCCACACATGGAACGTCCAACCAGATGTTTGGTGAATACCATGATGCTTTTAGGTCTCAGTCTTGGAGTCAGCTGATGGCCTGGACCTTCACGTTGTGGGGCTGTAGGTGCATTTATCTCCATCTTTAAGAGCAGTTGATTGGCAGGGATTTAAACACCAGGGAACCGACTCCACAGGCTGGACCACCCGCAGCCATCTTGGAGTCCCTGGCTCTGTGGGAACACATCGCCTTTTTATCAGATATGATATTATATTCTTTTTATTATATTCTTTCTATATATATTTTTATTGCCTCTTATTATATTCTTGTAGTTTTTTCTTTTTAAAAATTCAGTATAATGTACACATAAAATCTACATTTATTTTTTAACATTCCTTTTTGTTAGGCAGATTTACTGAGAGAAGGAGACACACAAAGATCTCCTGTCCTTTGGTTCATCCCCAGATAGCTACAACAGCCAGAGCTGAGCTGAACCGAAGCCAGGAGCCTCTTCCAGAACTCCCAATTGGTTCCAGGATCCCAAGGCCACAAACAGGGAGCTGGATGGGAAGTGGGACACAAACCACTGCCCATATGAGATGCTTGTGCTTGCAAGGGGGAAGATTAGCCATTTGAACCATTGTGCCAGGCCCTAAAATTGATCTGTTTTAAACACAAATAATGCAATGCCATGTCACTAACTGCGAAGTTGGAGTCCTGCAGTTTGACAGCATTTCCATGACCCCTAGGAATGCCCCTTTATAAACATCCTTGTTCCCAGGCCTACTCCTAAGCAGCTACTAATCGGCTTCAAGGCTTAGAGCTTTGCCATCTCAGGTGGATGAAGTTGGATTCTTATTGTATTTTCTGTAAGTAAGGCCCTTCTCAGAGGCTTATCTTGAGCAATTATGTTTTGGGTAGTGTAACTAAGAACTCTCAACCTAACCTAAGGTTATGAATGTTACCTCTTTTCAAAGTTTGATGCTTTCAGCTTTTACATGTTTGTGAATCTTTTTTACTTTTTTTTATATGACTTTTCTGCTGCGTCCACATGTCATTGGAAGGGGTGTAACTGTGCATGTTGCACACTGTGCAACTGAGGCAGCTCTAGAAGGTGCTGTCAGCCAAAGAGGTCCCAGCCAGCAGCTGGCCTGCCTACCTCAAAGGGCTCTGGGATAGCATCCCTAAGTGTCTTGTGCATTATGACAATTTGATATCAGATACAGAAGACAATTGCCACATATATCCTCAAACTAAGAAGTATATCTGCCAGGCTGATGAGCACAAAAATAACCTTCTTCCCATTGACTTTGTGGGGATTGCTTGGATGTGTTGTACAGGCTTGCCAGAGAGGAAGCACTGGAAACATGCCCGTTCTCTGTGCCCTAGGAAAATGATGGGAAGAAATGAGACCTTGCACACAAAACTTGTGGTGGCAATTAATACATGCATACCAGTCCTTACTTTCATTTTTCAGACCCTGAAATCGGAGTTCACTGCTTCACATAAGGGTTCAACCTCTAAGCTAGGATCACATTGATATTTTAAAAAGCTTAATTAATGTTTTTAAAAAGCTAATCTTAGTTAATCTTTAGACTATATGTTTTTTTTTCTTTAAAGTCAGTGAAATTTAAGAGAAATTCATTATTCTCATTAAAATGATTAAATATTTAATTCCAAGTAATTTAGAAATTGTTTGAGAAACAAACATTGGCAGTACTGGGGGCCTTGTCTTCAGTACAGAAAGTCTTTGGTTGGCTTTTGAGCATGGTTCGGCCTGGGGGCCAAGTAACAGAATTTTCCCATGTCTCTTCCTCACTTCTTTAGTTTGCTAGACTTGGGGGTCTGAAATCATCAGATGGTGTCAATTGTTCAGGGACTTTCTGAGTAAAAGGACAATTGCATTTCTTTTCTCACATTCCCATATCCTTTGGTTTTCTGAGTCTAAGAATCATGGTTTCTATCACTTTGATGAGCAAAACCCCAATTCAGAACAACAAGGTGATGCCCTATAGTAGGTAGAGAGGGAGAATTTTATTTTGGACAAATATTACAAATCATGTGAAAAATCTCTGCCCTTTAAAGCATTTTGGTTTATATGTCTACTTGGTGATATTTTTGCATCACGTTTAAAGTCTTCTTGTCACCGTCTGCCTACGTGGCTATGGTCTTGCTCCTGCAGTTTCTGTATACAGCACACTACTCTGGAGGCATCAACCCCTGGGCTTTGTTCTGTACCTCTTGACTATTACAGGATTGATGCCGTATGACTCTGGACCAATGTCAGAGCCAAATGATCCATATTCAGCTCTTCCTGCCATCTGATAAGTCTTTGGTGTTCAGGACAACCATTTTGTCCAAATTTGGATACAATTTACATTCCAGAAAATGCACCATTCGTTCACTCACTGAATTTTTCATCCTTCATTATATATTTGAGGATATTTTAGAATTGAGCTGGTTTAACATCAAGAACCTAGGAAAGGTGTGAGATTTGTGGAGCTTTCTGGTCTCTGAGATGCTTGATTAGCCCCACTGGGTCTCAGGTGCTTGATGAGATGATGTCTGTGATTGTATGATGGCCATTCAATAGTTGCAACAGAGTAGATAGAGCTCAGCCCATTATTTAAATTATGTGGCCTGCTTGCAGCAGAAATTTCTTTTTAACCTTCCAGTGGCACATTTGCCTGATTAGCCTATGGAAATCACTGTATGGCTTCTATTTGTTCCTTTTGTGACAAGATAGAGAAATACAGCGATGCAGGCTGCTTATCACATTCATCTAACCACTGTGTATATTACTGGACATGCCTAT